GTGAACGTATCATCTGCTAAAAATGTCAGAGAGAAAACAGCGTTTTCAATTTGCCATGGAAATTGGGATTTGATGTCGGGATGACACAGGCTTTGCACCTACCCGACAAGAAGTTTGTCCATGAAGTTGGCACAAGGCTTTTGGCGGCGATAGCGGAGCGGCGGCCGTGCGGGCCGGGTTCATGAAAATGGAACTCCAACGCCAACGCAGACGATGGCCTTGAACCCGCCCTGAACTTGGGACGCGACGCGGCGCAGTGTGGCGCGGCTCGGCGGGGCCCCGCTTCTAGTGTAGGCCCGCCTTTGGGCCTGTAGGCCCCCGCCGCCCCCGGCCCGATGGAGTGGAGGGTGGGGGGAAAGACATTCGGCAAATCTGCCGTGCCGAGCCGTGCCGGGCCGTGCCCTGTGCTTGGCTGGCTTGGCACCGAGGATAACCGATATCAAACACAGATAGACGGCCCGAGGCCCACACTGTACGTAAGCCAGGGAGGAGTCTTGTGACAGGAAAAAAGGGAAGCCCAGCTGTCACCGTTCCTCTTCGGAAATTTTGCTGAAGCACTGCAAAGTCCTGGGACCCACTGCCACAGCACTGTCAGTGACTGCCAGCGAGCTCGAGTGAGAACCGATAGGACCGACGGTACTTTGGCGGGTTCGTGCGCGCGGCGACGCGGCGACGCGGCGACCCCAACGCGTTTCTAGTTAAGGCAGGTCTAGCCTCGTCTAGCCGATGACTAAATATTCACCAGGCTTACGGCCCGGCGCACGCACCGCGCGCACCGCGCCACATCTAGGCATTCTGCCAACGAGCAGCGACGCCGTAAAATACAAACACACACAAAAAAAAAACAACAAACTTGGCCAATGCTAACCAGCAGCAGCAGACTGGTGACAAAACCCCAAACCCCTTATTTCACCTGCGCATATTCATTCTCGGAAGCCACGGCAAAGTTTTTCACCCAGAGCGAGAGAGCGCTCAGTTTCGCAGCCAAATTAATTTGCGTTTATACTGCTTCCCTTCCGAAACTCGGGCCCCCTTTTTTTGTCGCCGCAGTGCTCGGCCTGTTGCCTCGTCGTTTCACGGAAAGTGAGTGAAGCCGTACACACGTCCTTAGGAGGGCCGTGTGCACAGACCCACACTCACTCACCCTCGCACACACACACACACACACACACACACACACACACACACGAGCAAACACGAACAGGCGGTCGATGTAATGGCTTGGCCCAGACCAGAGTCGCGAAAGGATGCCTGCGCGGGTTTTGCTCGCATCCTGAAGGTCAAAAGGACGCAGGCCCGACGGGCCGCGCCGCCACGCCACGCCGCGCCCCGCCCGCCCCGCCACTGGTTTTGTGGTTGAGGCAGGTCAAGGAACGCTATCGAAATTCAATCCAAGTGGAACGGGAGGCGTATGGGTGCCGGGCACAACGACGCGTATGTCATTATAGACGTCGTCGTTATGGCAAAGCGGCAGCGACGGTGATGCAATCCATTTACCTGACGGCGGGATAGCCAGGTGTTCGCAGAATTCTGGCACGTGATTAAAACGCCTTCTGAAACGCATCGGAAATTTTTGGGCGGTCTGGCCGGTACTTTTATTCGAATTACGTACCCCGGACCCGGACCCCGGGCATCTAGCGCGAGCCTCGCGGGCCGAGGTGTGTACAGGATGGGGCGGGTAGGACGGGACGCTTTGAGAAACGACAGGAGTCAGTCACCCCGCGGTTTCGCACACCATCATTGTCTACTGTCCGCGACAAACAACTCCAGGACCCCTTTTCGTCTTTCCATCCGAAGTGTGTCGCAACTCGCAAGGCGAACCGAGCGTCGCGCCATGCCGCCCCAGCTGGTCGGCGCTGTGCCGCCGACGGTGGGGCATGCAGCGATCGGGCGGTTGCCGCGCGAGGCGGCCCGGCGCGGCTCGCCACGGCCAGGCGGCGCGCGGCCCGCCACATCAACTACGCCGTGGTGGGGACCCTCACTCACGGCGGTCCGTTGGTCTAGGGGTATGATTCTCGCTTAGGGTGCGAGAGGTCCCGGGTTCAAATCCCGGACGGACCCATTTTTTTTCTGTCCTCGTCGCGGTGCTGATTCACATGCGACAGACTGTTGTCGCTGAGTTTCCGCAGGCGTGGTGGACTGATAACAGGATTAGTGGCACTCTTGATCCGCCGACGGGGCCGCGCCAGGGTCCGCGTCAGGCCGCCAGGGTGACACGGCCAGGGCCGCCAGGGCCGGGCCGCCGCGCCAGGCTACGCCAGGCCCGAAACGAAGTGGCGTGGGCTAGGTCAGTGACCGTCCCATCTATGCGCACGTCAGGGCCTACATCGCACCTCGGCGCGGCGGGGGGCGGCGGGGCGGAGCGGCACAGGATCACATTTAGCAAGTAGCCCAGGGGAAAGATCCACCAAGAACGTCCAAACAAGCCGCACCAAGCCCCCACGCCCCAGACGCGTGAACGCCCACCACGTCCTGGTGGGGCAGGGCCGGGGGCAGGGCCTGCAGGGCTGCTAGGCAGCAAACCCCCGCGAACCGCGCAGCGCTCGAACACGGGCCTCGTCCTGGCCCTGGGGTCTTGGGGCTCGATCTGCTCGGCGGTTCGAACCCGGGGCAGCGCGGCGTTTCGGCGGTCTGTCATTGCTGCGGACAGGAATGTTCCCTTTGCATGTAATCCTCGCCCTGCCCATGGCATGCCGTGGAGCATGCCGTGGCACGACGGCCAGGACCAGGATGGGCAGGATGGGCAGGACGAGCCAGCCGGCCGAGGAGGCAGACGAACGAATGAAAAGGCAAAAGGGAATACATAAATGTCGATGTCGGTACGGCAGCCACCAGGCAGCCACGGCAGGGAGGAGGAGCAGGGAGGGGGCCCGCGCCGAGTGGTTATCCTTGAACTTGACTTGGACGCGGCGGCCGGGCCGTGACGCTGCGAGCCTCGCCCAACCTCGCCCAGCCTCACCCCGCCTCGCCCGGCGTTGCGATTTCGTGAGGCCTACATGCCGCCAAACCACGCCCCCCCCTTTACCCCTCCCCCGCGGCCCCCGCCTCCTCTTCGCCATCGGCAGTCCTTTTGGGCCCCTCTGCGGCGGTAAGTCCATCCGCCGGGACGGGGCGTAGCGTGGCGTGGCGCGGCGCGCCGGAGAGGATGAGATTTTGGAGGCGGGGGGCGACGGCACCATGACGGCACAGGGACAGGCCTCGGCGTTACCAACCAAAATAAACCAAGCGGCGTGAGAGAGAGACCGCGGCCAAAAAGAAATGAAGACGGTAGAATAAACAAATGGCTTGGCGCGCTTGGCGCCATCGCTGGACAAACGACGCGGCCAAATAGCAGCATTATTGAAATGGATTCGGTGGCGGCGACGCGGCGACGCGGCGACGCGCTCCCCTCTCCAACGTGGATGTATTTCGGGAGCGCATTCAAAGGGAAACGCCAGCAGGCTCATTCCAAAACGCAGTCTCCGTCTCTCTCGCGCTCGCCGCGGAGTGCCCCGGGAGTGCGAGAGAGACGGAGCGACGCTGCACCGTTTCGGAATGAGCCTCGACCATAAACAGAAGCGGCGCACTGCAATGGTGCTGCCGGACTCCGCCGAAACGTGCTTTTACACTGTGCCTGCGCCTCCCTGACCCGCACTATCGTGCAGCTCGCCGCAGCGCCGCGTGGTGGCGCGTCGTCGAAGCTTACTATCGCCTATTTTGGCTTGCCACGCCGTTGCGCCATGCAACACACAAAAGACTCTGTTTTCGCCATGGACTCTGGTTTAAAATAGAGGCCGCTCGTCGGGGTTTCCGTTAAAAGTTAAAGAGTAGGAGTCCTCGCAGACGCGGGGGGAGGCGCAAAGCGGTGCGGGGAGGGTGGCCGGGCCTAGCGCAGGGCCTAGCAGTGCCGTGCCGCCGTGCCGGTCGGCAACAGCCGGGGCCTAGGCCTTTGCGAGTAATCCAAAGCCAAGGTTACGCGGTGCGGCGGCCCGGGGGCGGCGGGCGTGGCGGCGGGGCGGGCGGGGCGGGGCGGGGCGGGGCGGCTCGTTGGTGGGCTAGCCGCTCCCCGGCCTAATTTCGCCCGTTGTCCAGGATTCTACAGCCAAATCGGGCCCATGTCGGGCCCAGCCCGCTGGGCACAGTGGGTCTCCCAGACCTGCCTGGACGCCCCAGCCCAGCGCCTTGACTTGTCGGGCCCCAAAACGTAGCGCGCTTCAAGACAAGGCGCGTCGGTGCACGCGCGTCGCGATGCCCATGCCCCCTCCGCCCGCCCCGCCCCGCCCCGGCTCTTCCCGCGCTAAAAACCGCCGTGGCCAATGGCTCGGCTCGGCTCGGCTCGGCACGTCAGCTGCACGAGTGCGGCGGCGTGGCGGCGTGGCGGCGTGGTGCGGTGCGGGGCATGGGAAGGCTCGGCAGGCAGGGCCCAGCCGGGCTCGTCGCCTGGTCGGGCAGGGCAGAGCAACCTTGGCCGTGGCCTCACAACGTGCACAGCCTGGCCGTGGCCGTGGCCGTCGTGGCCACTGTAGGCAGTGTGCACGTCACACGCCGGCCTCGCCCTTGCCCCTACCGCAGCCTTGGCCTGCACCACGGCCTCGGTCGCCACGTCCAGCGCCAGCCGCCCCCACCGGCACGCCGCCGCATTTCTCGCGCCACTGCGGAATCCCCGCGAGTGCGAGGGAGACAGAGCGATACGAGAAATGGGTCAGAATGTTGGAGGCCGGCATGGGATGAGCCCCAGCTATTACGCAAGGGCACCCAGGAGGGGGAGCAGGGGGACACGTCACAACAAGCGTGCATCCTCAGTTGACTCCCCCCCTCCCCCGGCCAATTGCACACGTGGACCGCCTGGTGTCGCCGTCCTTGCCAGTGTGCTGCGCGTGGCGGCGTGGCGCGCTGGCTGCGCCTTGGGCTGCGCCCCTCGTGCTCCTCGCGGCGCGTGCTGCACGCGTGCACGCAGCGGACTCCGGGTGCGAGAGAGACAGAGCCACTCTTTGGGAAACCTTTTACAGTGCTGCACTCACCTCGGTCTGCGGCATGCAGGCCCCGGCCGTGTACTGCGACTGGCAGCGGTTCCAGGGGGCGCAGTGTCGCTGCAACAAGAACAAGAGCAGGCGGTCAAGGCAACGGACAGGGAGCGCGACGTCATCGATCGGGAGGCGCGGCACGTCATCGACCATCGACCGATCGAGAGTCCGAGTCGCAGCCCCGCCACCTCCTCCTTCGCCCCGTCGCAGCGATGACGTCATTTTACGCACGTTCACCAATTTTGTTATCGCAACAAAGAAATAGCCGGGCGATGGACAAAGAAGACGAGCTCAAACGAACCTCCCCCCTCCCCTCCTCTCCCCTCCCGCTGCTGGGCGCGGCGCACATTCGGCCCTGGTGTAGTCTGCCCACGTCCAGACTCACACAGACACACTGCGGTGCGGAGCGTGGCCGACTAGGCCGTGCCACTACACTGCACGAGGCTAGCGCGGCAGCGCGGCCTGGAGCGCCGTAGCGAGGCGGGATAGGCAACCCTCCCGCCGCCCTGTCGCCGCGTTGCCTAGCCAGCCGGGCGCTCCCCTTGCAGCGACGCAGCCGCAGCGCGCTGCAGTTACAGTGGCTCTGCTCGCTGTGCACTGCAGTCCCGCCGCGCCATGCGCCACGCGCCGAGCAGGCTCACCGTGTCGGCCCGTTTATCCGTCTAATGATCTAGGGACACGTTCCTCTCAGTCAGCCTCACGTCACTCAGCTACGAGGCGCAAGCACACAGACAGACTGCAGAACACGCACGCACGCACGCGCTTCTGGTCCACGCGCTATGGTCACACCGGTCCCTCCTCCGCGCGCGAGTCACAGACACGTCGCAGACGAGCGAGTCAGTGATTGGAACAAAGTGACGTACAAGGCTTTGGCTGCGACGGCCACTAGAGGGCCACGGCCACGACGCCGCCCAGTACACCGTGAGTGTGTCCCGCGCAGTGCTGCCCGCGGATGGCTTTGTTTGGGACCGCCGTCGGCGTGCACCGCCCAGTAGTGCTTCCTTCGCCTTCCTCATCGACCCATTGCCGCTTCCAAGAGGATTGCCTCTTCCTCTAGTCGCTCGGACGGCCCAACCAGGCCGCCCCGCCATCGCGCACGTCTTCGTCCGCGTCTTTGTTTTTGGCGAAGGCTGGCCGGCCGGCGCGCCGCAACGTCTTGCTCCTTTTCGCCTGGACATAGAACCGTCTCCCAACGAGGCAGTGATGGATTCACCGACGCCGTTTGGGAGTTGGAGCGGCGGGGCCGAGCGGAGCGCGGGAGGCTCGCAGGGGCGGATCCAGGGCCTGGGGGCGGGGGGGGGGGCTCTTTTTGCCCCCCTGCCAGGCAGCTACCTAGGAGCGAAAGGGGCCAATCGCCCTTTTGTCGCCCCACTGGAGACGCGCGAAGCCTCGCACCGGTCGGTTTCGTTTTCGTCTTGTCTCCGGGGGGAGGGACGGGTGTACGACGAGCAAGTACTGCACGCCGCCGGCAACGTGCTAGCCAGGCACGCCGCGTCAATTGCCGCTTGAGTGACTCGCCTCGATTACAAGATAAAAGCAGGCGAATCGGTCAGGGAGGCGAGGGAACCTCGAGGGAACCGCCAGCGTTCTCACACACAACCCGCATGCATGTCGAAAAGCACGGAGCCCCGGCTTTGGGGGTCTGCTTCTTGCCGTTTTGGGTTCAATCTCGCCGATTTATCGTCCAGACTTTTTGGCATGAACGCCGAAATGTCTATTGCTATTACATTTCACAGCGACATCCTCCATGGGCGCGGACAGCTCGGAGGAGGCGACGACTTTTGAACGAGGCGGTGACTTCATAATGCTCGCGAGTATGAAAGGTGCCATGACCGGCGGGGGGGGGGGGGGGGGGGGGGGGGGAGCACACAACAAGTGCCAACTCAGGCTTGGCACGGATGACGACGCTCGCTCGATGGATGGAAAGTGAAATGACAATCTGTTCTGCCTGGATGCCCATTGGCTGCGAGGAGGCTGGTGGCAGGGGGCGGAGGGGAAGCTGCTTTGAGGTTCTCGGAAGCCCCGAGCCGCCACTTGCCTTGCCACCCCGCGCTCTGCGCCGCTCTGCGCCGCTCTGCGCTCTGTCTGTCCTTGTCGCACGCACGGCCCCTTGCGCCAAACTTCGGCTCATTTCCGGCCGACTGTCGGAGGACCGGCCTCAAAAGAAAGCAAAGCCGCATTGCAAGGCGGAGACCTGTTTCAGCGGCCACCAGGCTGAACCATCACCGAGCTCTAGGACTCTCCACTGGGAGAAAAAGTGATGAAAATGTTGTCCAAATCTTTGCAGTGTCCTGGCTAGGTCCAATGGACAGCCCTTCGGGCGAGGAATCCCTTGGTGCCCTATTTCAATACGGTGGAGCTTCAAACGTTGCTCCGAGTTGTGGCTGCCTAAGCTGGTCTTCTGGCTCGCTGTAGCACAGCCTCGAGGCTGGTGGGGTTGGCGGGGTGGTGGGGTGCTCGCTGCAACCGCGGCAACTCCACCGTGTATTTCACTTGGCTGTGTACGGCAGCCTTGAACTTGACCGGCTCAGCACGGCCCGTGGCGGGGCGTGGCGGGGCGTGGCGGGGCGTGGCGGGGCGTGGCGGCGCGGGGAGCGGCGGACAGAGGGGGGAAAGGGGGCCGGGTATAGGAGTCCGCGGCGGGCGAGCGGACGGCAGGACCGCAGGCAGACAGGTGAGTTCCAAGGTCAGGGGCAGGCAGCCTGGCTGGCGGCGGGGAAGTGAGAGGGAGTGAGAGGGACACCGAGGTGGGAGAAGGGGGACGGGTGTACCAGAGCCCCCTCCCCCTCCCCGTTCCCCCGGCTCCCAAGCCCCAAACAGCCAGGATTGGGGCCCGCCGGCCCGCCGCGAAGAAGACTATGTGCCCGGGTACAGCATGCAGGCCGAGTGACACTCCGAACGCCCAAAGGCCCAAAGGCCCGAAGGCCCGAAGGCACACCCAATCCATTTACACGTACAGCCGCGTCGTTTTCGTCGCTCTGCCTCTTTCGCACCCCGACGGGACGCCCCATGCGTGCGAGAGAGGCAGAGCGACGAGACCGGTGTCGTTAGCGTGGTGCACTGTGCAGCCCATGACGCATGGGGGCAGGCATGGAACCCCACGATGTGGGGCTTTGACATGGGCAAAGTTGGACCACGTCCAATTTACCTTCGGCCAAGTATGCATTGCCATTGCTAGAGAGACAATGTATACTTTGCCGCAGACGAAGAAGTGTAACTTTGTCAGAGATGAAGTTTGTTTCGTCGTAGACAGAGTATACCATGCCCTGGGCAGAGTTTATTTGCCAGAGGCAAAGTATACTTTGCAACATAGTCCAAGTACACTTTGCTGTAGACAAAGTATACTTTGTTATGGACGAAGTTTGATTGCAAATAGGGTGAATTTATTGTCCAATACGTAAAGTCCACTTTGACATGGACTTTTCGCGGTGTGGGCGCTGAATCGTCCGCACCGCAGGTGATATCCAGAGCGGACGGGAGGCTCGGTCCGCATCACAGTGACACTACACTGTGACACTCGGTGACACTGCTCCATCGTCAGCAAATTGGTCCAGGCGACGCGGCGGGCCGCGCCTCGCGGCCGCGGGGTTATCGGGGTGCCGGCCAGAGGCAGGCCAGAGGCAGGCCAGAGGCAGGCCGTGCCGACCAAGCGGAAGGCGCGCTTATGCAACGCCAATAGTGTTCAAACCGCGGCCCGGCCCTGCCAAAGAGACTACAAGGCCCATGCTTTTGTTCGGCCGAGCGGCTAAAATTTATCGCGACCCCACAGGCCAAATTAAATTCCGCCAAAGGATATACTTAGGCCTGTGGAAATGCTTCGGCCTGGGGAAATGCTCTTCGCCAGACAACACGACCCCACGCAAACCCCAGGACCAAACAGTAACCCAAATATATTTTCCCCCGCGTCTCGAAGCCAAGGTAGAAAACGAAGCTAGTTTAGCCCTATTGCGGGTCCCCCCCCCCCCAGGTTCCCGTCGGTCCTTGTACGTCTTCGCACTAATTGCTGGCATCTAGACGCGGCCCTCGTTCTAGGCGCGCGCGGCCAGGCGTGGCGTGGCGCGGCGTGGCGCGCCGGACTCGAATTTGTTTATTTACGAAGAGCGCTTTGCAAAAACTGCTCCTGCCGTCGGACCGTCGTGACTTGCAGGGCGTTAGGTCTGGTTTGGTTCGCATCACGGCACCAGAAAATCCGCTTCGCTCCGCGGGGCGGCCCGCCCGGCTAATGTGCGTGAGGTGTTCCGGGGCCTCGCGGGCCTCACGGCGTTGCCCGGCCCGGGCTTGGCGTTGCCGGCGTTGCCTCACGGGGCGATGAGCGGCGGCCCGTCCTGACGCGGACACATTTTGGACAGTCCCTTCTCAATTTTCTGCCTTTGGCCGTGGTTTCCGTTTCGGGCGTCGGGTGGCGCGCCGGGTGGCACGCCGGCGCGCTGTGGCGGCTTGCACCGCGCAGCACCGCGCCGCCTCAAAGACGGTCCGAAATTAGGAGGGGGCGGCGGGCCGAGCCTGGCCGCGTCGCACAGTGGGCCAGAAGACCGGTGGAGGCGGCCAAAACTCTAGGCGCGTTTTGAGCTCCAGAGTCGCTAAATGGGACTCGAACCGAACGTGTGACCCCACCAATGGATTGCTCTCCGAACGAAGAATCTTTCAAAATCTGCCAAGGATGGTGCCGCATCACGCCAACTGTGCACACAGCCGTGCACGCCACGGTCGACGCCGCGGGAACGCGGGAAGATTTTTTTTGCCGCCTGCAAAAGTTTGGTGCCTGGGACGTAACATATCGCGCGGCACAACGGCCGGAAAAGGTGGCGCCGGTCTCACGAGCAGCCCAAGTCGAGAGAGCGTTTGAGACACGCGCGTGCAGCGAGTTAGACGCGCCCCCGCAAGTTAGACGGCCGCGTCCGCGGGACTCATCGCGGCGAATCAGGCATTTCACGGCGCTAACGCGTCGGTAAATATTTTAGGGCGCCGTCACGCCGCCACACTGGAAGCGTCGCGTCCCGCGTCCGCCCCGTGGCGCCCTGGCCGGCCTGGCTGGCCGGGCAGGGACTGTACCGGCCGTGGCCTTGCACTTGGCTGCACTTGGCACAAGCCGGTGCCTTGTGGCGATGGTTATGCACTGCGGGTACCCGACCCGGCCACGCCCCACCACGCCCCACCACGCCCCACCACGCCCCGCCGCAGGAGGCTCGCGGGGGAGGGGGCGGGGCGAACGCGACACCACACGCTAAGCGGCAGCACCAGCTGATCCGGCCTAGCTGCACCGGGCGGCGCGCGGCGTGCCGCACCGACCGGCTGCACCCATCTCGCTCTTCGGTCTGCACCTACTTGTCCTGCGTTGCGAGTTGCGTCACCGGAGCGGCAGGAGCGGCGGCACCCTCGCCGATCTGCCTGCCTGTGGCGGCCTGTGGCTGCGGCTGGCTGTGCCTGCTCCAAAGCCGGCGGCCCGACTCAAACCGTGGCCGGCCGTGCCTGCCTGCGGGGCTGCCTGCGGGGCCTGCGGGCTTGGCGGCAGGCTGTGCCTGGCTGTGCCACAGGCCAAACCGCGGCCGGACCAACAACAACAACACTGCGCAAGGCGAGGAGAGGAGCGAGCCAATCCCGCGCGGCGGGGCGGGCGGGGCGTACAGCGCTGTACACTGGCAACACGGGCAGGCCGGCAGGCCGTCAGGCTGCCGTCAGGCCGAGGCGGAGGTTCCCCTGGGTTCCCAGCACGCCGAAAGGCCGAGGCGGCGACCACGGCTACTCACCACGTCCTCCATCCACGCCTCCATCATGTTGAACGCGGTGCACCACGCCGCCAGCACGGCGTCTAGAAGCACATTCCAGGCGGTAATCCAACGGAAGCCTCGCTGTCACTATCACTGTCACTGTCACTCTGCTGGCCGCGGCGCTGTCGCGCTGTCACTGCTTTGCGTGGTCACGACGTCGGTCACGGCGGTGCTGGTCACAGGCACTGGCACTGGGCACACTCTCCCTTTCAACTCCTTTCGGCTCGGCAGGTGAGGACCAAGTGTGGCTGCGCGCTGCGGGCTGCGGGTGCTTTCCGACCCAGACAACACAAGCCGGCCCAACCCAGCGAGGCGCGGCGCGCGGCGCGGCCGCCGGGGGGAGTGGGGGCAGTAGGGGCAGTGGGGCGTCGAGGAGTGGGGGCACGCCGGGGGTGGCGCGGGGGACGGCGGCGGGGCGGCGCGGGGTGGGGCCTGTCGGCCTGTCGCATAGACGTCGCCCACGCGTGGTGTGGCGTGCGTCGGCCGCCGCAGGGCGTCCAGGGCGTCGCGGGGGACGTCGTCGTCGATGGAGGCGGTGGCCGCGGTGGCGGTGCAGAGCTCCTCTCCAGCGTGCTGCTCGGACGCCTGGCCGAACCACGCAATCCCACGGCACGACACGCAGTGTGTCACACTCTCCCCTTCTCTCGGCGCGGCGCAGTGCGGCGTCCTGTCCAGCCCCTTCGTGCCCCTTCCCCGACCGGCCTGCCCGGCCAGGCCGCCGCTCGCCGCCCGTTCCGTCCGCCTGCAAGTCAGCCTCGATCCTGTCCGATCGCCGGAGGCTTCGCTCGAGCAGCCGCTCCTAGCGTGGTGCAGACTTGCTTGGCCGGTGTGTCCCAAGACGGTTCAAACGGTCTGTCCGAAATCAGCTGAAGAAGGCCCTGGCCGCCGTGTTCACCGAGTTCACCGTGTTCACCGGCAGGGCCGCGGGGCGCCGCGAGGGGCGGGCCTCCCAACGCCCCACCCACTTTCCCTTTCGCTGGGCCTTCCCACCCCCGGCCGGCCTCAAGGTCGCGCGGCCCCGGGGGTAGGGACCCCTGCAGCTGGCAAGGTTGCGTGGCGTGGGGAGGGGGGTGGGAGGGGGCCGCGAGGTACCGGGCGCGCGCGGTTCGCTGAGCGCTGGGAAAGGGTGTGGCATCCACCCCATCTACCCGCACAGAGGCATGGCTCGCGTCGCGCCCCTACAGTGGCGCAGCCGGTACTCGCACTCACTTGGTGTGGCGCAGTGCGACGCGGTCCGGCACAATGCGAGACAATGCTGCATCGGGAATCGAGGCCGAGCGAGGGAGCCAGCGGTTCGGTTGGTTCGGTTGGCACTCGGGGGCTGGTGAAGGGTGGCAAGCGGCAGAGCAGGGGGAGGGGGAGGGGGTGAAGCTGCTCCCTGTCCCACCGAGGGGTAGCAGCACTCTCGCTCTCTCTCTCGCACACTCGGTTCCAAGGTCAGCCGGCCGGGCGGCCTAGGCGAGCCCGTACCTACCCCACCCAGCACTGGCTCGGCACTGCCCTACACTCGATGGGGTCGATACTCTCGAAACGGAGCGAGATGCAAGGCCGAGCGCCTCTCTCGCGCTTTCGCGCCGACGCCCAAAATCCCTTCTGAACCGAAGCGCCGTCGGCCTGCACGCGCACCCGCGCACAAAGGCTGGAGTCTGGAGCCCCGCTGGAGAAAATTGCTGGAAAAGCACAGTTCAAGGGTGCCCGAGTGAGTCGGTGGGGAGGGGAAGGGAGCCCCGGACAAAGCCGCGGCATAATGGACTTGATTGGGGAGAGAGGCTGGCGAGGGGGATCATGGAGGGGGAGGGGGAGAGGGCCGCAGACAGGGTTGAAGGCCACATAGGTGGGGGCAGCCAGGCGAGGCCAGGCCAGGCCAGGGCCGCGCAACCGGCACATCCTACCCTTAGCGACAGCCCAGACCGGCGCACGCACAAATCAATAAGTGCGGAGAAGGATGGAGAATAGGGAATGGAGGACGTCGGACAGAGCGAGAGGGAGCGGATGAAGGATAAAGCGACGAGAGCGCCGCCGGGCCGAGCCGGACCGGGTATCTAGGCGAGATTCTATCGGACGAGGAGAAGATGCGCATACATCACGATACACATCATCCATGCGCCCAAGGGCAGGCTCAAGGAGCTCGCCCTCCATCCTCGGTTTTTGAATTTAAACGCGGCAAAGCGACAAGGGTGGGTGTGGCGGCGGAAACGGCCTCGACGGCCCAATGGGGCGCGAAGCGGCGAAGCTCAAGGCGACCGATGAGGCGATGAGTGTTTGGGCGGAGCGGGGCGGGGCGGGGCGGAGCTGGAGGTTGCGGCAGGTCAAGGGTGGAGGCCTCGAACTGTCTTCAAGGAGACCTGCCATGGAAAGCCTGGTTTGGGCTGACTTTCAGCGACTACTGCCTCCAATCCAAGGCGGAAAATCGTCCTCCTTCAACGTCCTGGTATTCTGCAGACCCTTCTCTTTTATGCGCCGCTCGGGAGCGCTCTTACCGCAGCTAGTTTAGGATCACCAGCCTCGCAAAGTTGGTCAAAAAGCCAACCTCACCTCACCTCACCCCGCCAGGCTGACAGCTAGTCCAGCCGGGCCCTGTATGTACATACTACAGCTTTTTGGACACCGCCCATGTAGGCCCCTGTAATCCTGTAGTCCGCAGTTTTGGCAACCGGCCATTGTGTAGGCCCTTGTTCTGTACACAGTTACAAGACAGGTGACAACGTGGGGTCAGAAACCAACACTTCTTTATGTTCCGCATCGGGCTTTTGCAGAGAGATTCAGACCCGCTGCTTTACCAGGTGTTTCAGTCCCTCCCGAGAAACGCAACGTTGATTCACGTTCGTTTCTGGTTCTTTAAATCCCCAAATCTTCGTCGCCACACTGTGGGGCGTGCGGCTCGGCCACTGCATCGCACCGTCCGCGGCACCGCGGTCCGGCCCCCTAGGCGCGCCGAGGTGTGCGAAAAGGCCAGCGCAAAACTTGCACCGGCCAGCGCATTTGCCGCGCGATTCAGTCAGCGTTTCTAGGCCAAAGCCAGGCCAAAGCCACCCGCGCCGCGGTGCTGGCCGTCCGGGCCGTCCGGGCCGCCCCGTCCGGGAGGCGTTGCTCTGGCCGTCAAGTCGCACAAACGCAGTGCGAGCCGCGAGCCGCGAAGCCACGTCCCACGTCGTGGCAGTGCAGTGCTCCTCGCCGTGCTCGTCGCCGTGCTCGTCGTCGTGGCCGTGATGGCGACGTCGTGACCCTGGCGGATCATTTTGGGAGCACACAGAACCGCGTTCTCGGAAGGAAGACGGTCCTTGTGTGCGAATCAACTCCCAACTCGCTTTCGCGTGTCACCGCCGCGCCGCCGCGCTCCGCGATGTGTGCGCGCACTGCGCGGCCGCTGTCGTGGCCGCTGGCCCTGCTGCTAGCGACAGTGTGCTGCACTGTGTCGGCCGTGGACAAGGAGCAGGCCGTCGTCGTGGACGTCCCGCCGACCACCGCGGGGCCACCGAGCGACGACGCGGTGCTCGCCACGCTGGAGCACGTCGCCAAGGACGTGCCCCACGTTCTGGATGACGTCAACAAGAACTTGCCCGTCGCGCTGGAGAAGACCGGGGCCCTGTCCGAGGCCGTGCCGAAGGTGATCGACCAGGTAGGGAAGAGCCTCCCCCACATCCTGGACAAGTCTCACGAGGTGGCCATGAAGGACGTGAAGGACGAGAAGGACGAGAAGGAGGCCGAGGCCCTCCCGGAGGACGACGGCCTGGCCGAGGCCATCAGGGTGGCGCTACCCTCGGCGCTGCCTTTGGACCAGGAGAGCGGCGAGTCCCCGACCGAGGCCCTGCACAAGGCGCGCCTGTCGCTGCAGCGCACGCTGGACCAGGTGCTGCAGGAGGCCGAGGAGTGGGCGCAGCACTCCAAGGACGACGCCACCGGCCAGTACGAGGACTACGAGGACCTCAGCGGCGACGACGCCATCGCCGCGGAGGAGGCCCTGCACAACACGCGGGCGGAGCTGCAGAAGAGGCTCGACGACATGCTGACCGAGGTCGAGAAGCAGGCCCTGGAGCATGCCATGGCCGAGGAAGGCAGCGGGGACGCCGCGGACGACAACGCCCTACCGGAGCTTCCCGTCAGCACCACCACAAGCCCCGCCAAGGAGGCCGTCCCGGACGAACCCGGTGAAGGCGATGACAATCAGGTGCAAGGGAAGCTCCTCACGTTCGCTGACGTCCCGGATCTTGTACCGACGTCCACGCAGCCACCATCGACGACAACACAGCCGACGACGACGCTCCAGCCGTCGTCGACAGGCGAACCTTCAACGACTTCAAGGCCGTCGTCGACTTCAAGACCGTCGACAACAACGGACAGCCCAGCCACGTCCTCCTCGACAGAGCCGCCAACACCAGCACCCCCCACGACGGAGTCTCCTTGGCGGCACCTCGTGGTGCCGCTGAACCAAGCGGAGTCCGAGGGGTCGGCCGCCATCCCGGCCGCCGTCCACGGGGACAGGGACGCCGGTACGCGCGAGGTGGCCCTGAACGACGACGTCGTGGAGGCCGCGGTGGCGGCCGCAGCGACCTTGGACGCGGACAGGACCATGGCGACGACGAACGCGCTGTCCGGCAGCGCGTGCCCCGCCAAGCAGCCCGAGCCCCTGAGGCTGCCCGCGCTGCCCAACGGCGCCCCCGAGTCCTTCAACCCGCAGTGCGCCGCCGAGTCCCGCCTGCTGGACCTCAACCTCCGGAACCACACGCTGTGGGCGGTGCAGAGTAAGGCCACGAGGCTTCCACGTCGCCGACAGCAGCCCTTATCGTCGCTCTGTCTCTGTCTCACTCATTGGCCTTCCCGTGAGGTGCGAGAGAGACAGAGCGCTGTTCGGATTCCAACTCCCTGTACTTTCCCCAGTGCAAGACGCCGGCTCGAGCGGCATCTCTGGCCTGCTGGAGGGCAACGTGTACCATCTGGGCAACTTCGACGAGTGCATGGAGGTGCTGGGCCCGGTGAGCGCGCAGTACTGCGTCGTCGACGTGCACGTGCACACTCCAGCTCGCACGCCCGACTACCGCCACCACCCGGACACGGCGGCCGACCCCATGCAATCCGTTTGGAACCACATCAGGGTGAGTCCCGACTCCGTGTTGCAAAAATTAAGCCAACAATAACTCTGTACTGCGATTTGAATGGATGGAAACCGGTTGTGTGTTGAAAACTCTTGCAATCCCCCTCGTTGACCTCGGCACGCCTCGGCATGAGCAGCACGAGGGCGAGGCGTGGCGCTTGCCGCTGGACACCCTGCACGTGGCGATCTGCGCCCCCGCCAGCTGCAGCCCCCGCGACCTGCAGGACAGCGTGCAGCGCGCCCTGGACAGCCACGCGGGGGGCCTCACGTCGCGCCTCCCCGTCGCCTACACCGTCACCGTGTCCGAGGCCCTGTGCACCTCGGCCGCCAAGCAGAGGCCGCCCCTGTCCAAGGGCGAGGCCGTGTACATGTGAGTATAGTGTGTTACCGGCTGCCGGAGCAGGCTCGGACTGGCCCCCAAAAGGCCCCGGCGGATAAGACCGCAAAACGCCCCCGATCATCATTGTTTTTACCCGTCATGACAAACTTTGTGACGCTACCGCTCCCAAACTAGTTGCGGTCAATAGCCTTTCGGTACAGGACATGAAAGAGTAGGGTCTTAAGAATTCTAGGGCGTCAAGGGAGGCCTTTTACGGCAACTAGATTGGACACAGTGGCCGCCCAAAGTCAGCAATATCAGCAAATTTCCGAGATTCGACCACTTTTTGACCAACTTTGGTCCCAAAATCGTTGCGGTCAAAGGCAAAATCGTTGTGGTCAACGTCTTCCCGATACAGGGCATGAAAGAGTAGGGTCTTAAGAATACTAGGACGTTGAGGGAGGCCTTTTGCGGCAACTAGATTGGACACAGTGGCCGCCCAAAGTCAGCAAAATCAGCAAATTTCCGAGATTCGACCACTTTTTGACCAACTTTGGTCCCAAAATCGCTGCGGTCAAAGGCAAAATCGTTGTGGTCAACGTCTTCCCGATACAGGGCATGAAAGAGTAGGGTCTTAAGAATACTAGGACGTCGAGGGAGGCCTTTTGCGGCAACTAGATTGGACACAGTGGCCGCCCAAAGTCAGCAAAATCAGCAAATTTCCGAGATTCGACAACTTTGGTCCCAAAATCGTTGCGGTCAAAGGCAAAATCGTTGTGGTCAACGTCTTCCCGATACAGGGCATGAAAGAGTAGGGTCTTGAGAATACTAGGGCGTCGAGGGAGGCCGTTGGCCGCAACTAGATCGGACGCAGTGGCCGCTCAAATTCAGCGAAAACGGCTACTTTCGGAGATTCAATCACTTTTTGACCAACTTTGTGACTTTACTGGTCCCAAACCCGAAGGCCCCGGCAGATTTTTCTGCCTGTCTGCCCTGGCCAGTCCGAGCCTGTGCCGGAGTGAGGTCACCTAGGCCTGCGGGCCGCGGCGCTCCGGCCCACAGTGGGTCAGAAGACCGGTGCCGGCGGCCAAAACTCTAGACGCGTTTCGAGCTCCAGAGTAGCTAAATGAAACTCAAACCGAACGTGCGACCCCACCAATGGATTCCTCGTTCGGAGAGCAATCCATTGGTGGGGTCACACGTTCGGTTCGAGTCCTGCTTATCGACTCTGGAGCTACGCGTCCAGAGTTTTGGCCGCCTCCGCCGGTCTTTCTGGCCCACTGTGCGGCCCGGTGCCCCGCTGCCGTCGTTGTACTGTACTCAGCACACCTTGTTCTGCCCTGGCCGCGCCACCCCGGTCAGCGCCCTCGTGACTCTGCTCGTCCTTGCCGTGATCGCGGGCACACTCATCGACGTCTACGCCACCAAAAAAAGTGAGTCCTCCCCTCCGCCCCCCTCCGCTGTGCTGCACGTTTTTTGTGCCTTTTGGTGGCAATCCGCGCATGACCCGCACACGGCACGTGCCATGACGCGCGTCCCGCCGTTCGATGCCCTTTTCTTTGGCTCCTTTTAACTTTGCGAATGTGCGACTTGTTTTAACGTTTGAGGGGTTTTCCCGCTTTTTGGGGGGATATCGAAACGTTTATCAAGATGGCAGCTGCAAAACTTGGACGCCACTGTCGACGGCCGCCCCAGTGGCATGGAAGGCCTGATGATGAGACCCTGGCGGCCAAGTTTTGAAGTTGCCTTCCCCATGCATCCCCCTTTTCGCTCCCTCTTCATCGCACTTCGATGTCTCGACTGTGGCAGAGGGCATGGTGCGGAAGCCTCTGCTGCTGTTCTCCCTGAAGAGCAACTGGCGCCTGCTCACCAAGACGGACCCCAAGCCCATGGGGCTGAACCTGGACGCGCTGTCCGGCGCGCGCACCATCAACATGCTGGTGCTCGTCGTGGCGCACCGAGGCTTCAACTTGCTGCGCGGTCCGGTGCACAACTACAACCACTTCGAAAAGGTCAGTCCGGCCGCGCCGGCCCGCCTGGATAACAGGGCTGGTGTAACACCGCCGAAGAACAACGGGGTGGATGGCGGGCAAAGCAAAGCAAGCACAGGGAACAGGGGAAAGGGAAGGGCGTTGCATAAGCCATGCGATTACGGCGTGCTCTATTATTGAACGACGCCAGCGAGTGCCGGCCACACGCGTCCACATGTCCCCGACAGGGAAAAATGGACTCATGTCCGACGCGGTCATGTGAGGGGAGTCGCTTCGTGGCGAGTCGTGGCTCGCTAGGAAAAGGCGATCTAAATTTCCGACCGCGAGTACAAAATGTGCAAGCAGAGTGTGCTTCCAAGTACGCTCCAGTGGCAGCGCATTTTTAATCTGGCAGTGTTGTGACCCCCCGCCGCGCTGGCGTGCTTGTTCCCCAGATGCCCCGCGCGCTGCTGCAGACCGGCGCCACGCACGCCCAGCTCTTCGTGGACACCTGCTTCGTGATGAGCGGCCTGCTCGTGTCGCTGCTGGAGCTGACGCGCGCGCACGCGCACGGCAAGGACAGCGACTCGCGCGTCACGCTCATGGCCGCCTTCGTGCACCGATACGTCCGGTAGGTCCGTCTGTCTCTCTCGCACTCGCGGAGCGCGGAGCAGCCCACAGAGGTTCGGAATCATCTGCCGTCCGTCCGAAAGCACACAAAAGCCACGCGGCGATACCCCGCGAGGAGGCGCGTGGGTGGGAACGGCGCGGGGTATCGCCGCGACGAGGGGCCTAACTTCAGGGCTTGGCGGTGTCGCTGTCCAGGTTGACGCCGAGCTACGCCCTGGTCGTCTTCTTCTACGCCACCATCTTCTGGCGCCTCGGCTCGGGCCCGCTGTGGGACCAGGTGATCGGGCACGAGAGCCAAGCCTGCTCCAAGTACTGGTGGACCAACTTGTTCTACGTCAACAACTACGTCAGCTCGGAGAAGCTGGTAAGACTCGGGGCCCGAAATTCCAGACACTGCTGAGGCCGTAAGAATAACTCAGTCCTTTTTTTTCTGTCGACAGTGCATGTTCCAGTCGTGGTACCTGCCCTGTGATCTACACCTGTTCTTCATCGGAACGATTCTAACGCTGCTGCTGTCCAGGCATCGAAGGACGGGGCTGGCCTTCATCGTCGTGTTCCTGGCCGTCTCCATGATCATCCCCTTCTTCGTGACGCTGCTCGGGAGCAAGCCGGCCCTGCTGGAAATGCTGCCCAGGTAAGGCCGCCCGGCCGGGTAGGCAAACCATTCCCCCGACGCACGGGTGGCGGGCGGGCTGCCTACCTCCGTTACCATTACCATTACGGACCAGACCGCAATTGATCGTATGCCTCCCAGCAGTCGGATCAGATTTAGAGCATGTGTCTCTTAAAGCCGGCTGTGTGCTGCGCGGTGCTGCGACTGCCGTTGTCAGCTGGGACGGTACCGCTCGCCTGTTCCACGTCCCGATTCTCGCGAAAACCGAGAGTGAGAGTAAAAGGTTTGCCGGCATTCCTGCAGCTTGTTCCGCGCCCCGGACCAGAGTGAAAACTTCCGCACCATGTACGCCCCGACGCACATCCGCGCGGCGCCCTACATGGTGGGGCTGCTGGCGGGCTACCTGTTCCAGCGCCTCGCCCTCAAGTACAAGGACCGCTTCACGGCGCCCGTCACCTGGCTGCTGTGCGCGGGCGGGGTGGCGCTCGGCACCGCCGCCCTGCTGTCCTCCGTCGCGTTCTACGACCCGGACACCAACTACAGTGGCGTGGTGGCGGGGCTGTACGCCGCCCTCTGCCCGGTGGTCTGGTCCGTCGGGGTTTGCCTCTTCTTCGCTAGCATTGTGCTCGGCAGCAAAAGTGAGTCGACTTGAAAATTGAAAAAGGGAATTGTAACAATTTTGACGTTAAAATCTACGTGTTTGGAATCGCCCACATCAGCGCTGGTCTCCACCATCCTCTCCTGGAAGCCCTTGGTCGTCCTCAGCCGCCTCACCTACAACGTGTACCTCACGCACTGGGCCTTCCAGATGGTGTCCGTTGCCAAGGCCCGCGCCCCCTTCCATCTGGACGTGTACAACCTGGTAAGCGAAGACCTGGAATCCAAGCTGGAATCCGGTTCCAGGTTCCAGGCTGTCCAGGCCGGGCCTCGCTCATCCATTTCGTTTTGCAGTTCTTCCTCTCCTTCGGGGACATGGTCTTCAGCTTCATGGCGGCGCTGGTCCTGTTCCTTCTGGTGGAGGCGCCCTTCAGGACCCTGGCGAGGGGGATCACGGCCCCAGCCCCGGAGAGGTGAGCCCCGAGTTCAAATAAGCGTCATTTACCAAAGAGCTTTGCCAAAGAGGCGCTCCTGTCCATACCCCACGCGTAGAGAGTTTCTCGCGCGCGGAGTAGCGACGGGGATCAAACCTTTCGCCGGTGGCCCCGACCGACCTGTGCACAGGCCATCCATGTGACCATAGTCTGTGGACCCCATCTCAACCCATCCCACCCCACCATCACTATCGTGGCATGCCTTTTCGTTTTCAGCAAAGTCCATCTGGAAGCCGCTCGCGAAGGGAGAGCCACAGCCTTGGAAGAAGCCTTCAAAGTGGCAATGAGCCGTAGTAAGGAGAACCCATGAGTCTGATGAGTCAGAAATGCGAAGCTTGTCGTTTCTAAAGATAGTACAATAGTTGATATTATATATGTTGCCCTAGGATTCTTTTTAGTGTTTTCTCCTATTTGGTATTTTTTAAGTCTCAAATGACTGAGGGAATGCCCCATGAGATGGCTATGTGCAGCCTTTGACTGAATTATTTTTTATCATGTCCAAGTTACAGGAGAGGGGGAAAAAAGAGAGACAATAATATTTGTGTTTTGTTTTCAATACATGATTTATTAAATTATTTGTTCCACAATATTGACTGGTAATGTGACTGCTCTCCAAAATCCACTTTCATGAATGAACCTACACCATCCACATAAATCTGAGATGGGCACAATTGTGACAATACAAGGACTACAAGGAGGATAACAACACATTACACCAAAATAGTTATCATGTTTATATTATGGTTAGCATTATATACATGATGAATTTTAGTTCATTTACACAGTAAAATTTGAAATTCTACTTCTGTATACTTATCCTATCCACTATTATAATTTAACTTAGGCGAGTTAAAAGTCCTTTCAACATGAAGTAAAACAGAACAGAAACCGTCAAAGGCCAATTATACACAACACAGCATACTGAGTTTTAGACTGTACACAACAGATATTGCCAACATACAACATATAATTCTGACAGAATAAAAATAAAATAGGGAGAATGAAAACAATTTATCCCCTGTTCCCAATAGATTTTTTTAAAAATTTGTGTCATCACATTACGTATGCATTAAGAGTGGGTGGGTGGTGAGGGAGGTCTAACACACCAAACTTGACCCAAGAGATAATCACACCAACTGTCCAAAGTTATCATCTAACTACAAAAATACATTGGTATACTTTCAGAAAACATTTTTTTTGGTAAATAAAAAAATAGAAATCAAGTGACAGGAGACTTGAGCCTCTAACCAGATTCATCTGGGCAGAGATGATTATTTTGTACAGAGATGGAATATTTGAACAGGAAGGAGAACATAAATTTTCTTAGTAAAAGGGATTAAAAAAACATCTCTGAAGCAATAACAGCACTTTACTAAAACAACTACTTTGTACACAATGACAATTTAAAAAACGTAGAATGATTCAATATTTTCGCCACATGAACGTCACATGGACCCTATGGAGCTCCAACAGAATGCTGGAATGTTCATACCAACCATGCTCACAAAACAAGACAAAAAAGTGATCTCAGAATTTGAAGGTAGTTTCACAAGAGGAAGTCAACACAACACTCCTGTGATGCAAGAAGCATGGATGAAACTTAAGACTTTAGAGGGAAGTCTACTATAACAGAATTTTCACATCCACTTTCCCCAGAAATTTTTTAAATAAAAAATCAATTATTTCACAGCGGACACTTTATCCTTCAGTTTGCTCCCACCTCAACCAAGCATGCACGCACGCACCCAGCACCTCCCATCCAAATGCATACACAAGAGCTCAAAGAACATGTATTCAACAAACGTCACAGCAGGCATGATACGTATCACATTTAATTCAATATTTTATACAATAAGCAGGCCCAATACAGCTATATGGTTCAAAGTCAGTGCTGCTTGCTACTCTACAACAATATGTTGTGCACAGTGGGTAGCACATCTTTGGGAAAACTCCATGCATTCTTAAACATTTACATGCAGGGATATTGAGCTTTAAATACACACTCTAGAAAGAAAGCAACATTGTAACTCAGTACAAAAAAACTATGACAGGAATGTACTTAACATTCTTCACCACTCTCATGCAAAATGGCCATGAACATAGATGCAGAGAGAAGAACTCTGTCAATCTTATTCAGAAATCCTCGTGGATCATTGTAAATAATGGCCAAGCTATTGCTAGATCTCCTTTATTATGGCAGGAGGGATGGTGCGCACATCCTGGTCACCCAGTAATTTGTAGCATAAAGAAGATCCAATTGGCACAGCCTCTTTGGAAATGGCTTGAGGTATCAAACATTCTACAAATATTTTTATTTCAACCCATAGAGAATACAAAGCATTTCTCTCTTGAAACTAGAGAGGATTTGTTAACAAACCTCTAGTTCTGCAACTTAAGAAAAAAAAGGATGACATCAATTTTTTTATTGAAGTCAAGGATCTAGCATGTTGCCTTTCGATCCAGAATGATTGTATTGTCTTAAAATTGAAATATCAACTTCAAAGCATTTCCAACTTACATCAATTGCAATAGCAAAAATATACATAATACATGTTGTAACACATAACTGCTGTGAGGACTAGTACGGACAATCGCTGTTGCTAGATCATTGCTGACACTAAAATCGTACCCAAAATGAGAAAAAGCATCAAATAAAACTTAAAAGACGCATACGAAGTGAAGATGCAACAAGGAAAAGAGGTACTGATGAGTGCTTATCTCACATACAAGAACAACAGAAGTCCGCATGCATCAGAAGGTTCAGCCTCATAAAAGAATGCATGTTGCCAGCAACAGCACGAGAGGTCTCCAGGATGGCACATAGACAAGTTGCCCAGGCCCTACCCTCAGCCAACTCAAACTCTCAGAACATTAAAACAGTTGTAAATATCAATCTACCTCTCAATTGGGAGGATAACGAACGAACAAAGCCTGTACTTTTTTTTAACAGGAATTTATAACAATTCAGAAATATTACTACTTTAGTCAAGGGTAAAGGCAGTATGTTACATAAACATTCAAACCACTTTAGGGTAGGCTTCACAGTTTGCTCTTCTGCTAACATTTGTTGACATCAGGCGGGGTTGGGAGGTACTCATCAGCTCTCTTGTGATCGTTGAGAGCTCGAACTGTGTAGGAGTCATGGGGTAGCTCAGACTTTCGCCGTAGAAGAGGCTTGGTACTCCGATTTTTGATCACCTACAATAAACACACGACTTAAAATCAGCAATAGCATTTGCAATGACGATGAATAAATTATGAGGTTAGTTAAAATATCTGAATAAATTATAATGCTTAAGTTAGGTATTTGAAATGAAACATACTTCTCTTTCTGAATTCTCTTTCACATAATCTAAATCAATTTCATTGTCCCCATCAGCTCCAGGAGAGAGAATGTCATTTGAGTTGACATTACTCGATAATACAGGAGCATATCCACGTATGTACACTTGGTTGCGTTTAGCCTGTGTTTCAACCTTTTGCCAAGCTTCCTCTCGTCCCTTCATGCGTTCTTTCTCCCTAAAACAAAGAGGTAGAGAACAAATTTAGCTCAGTTGTTAATTTTTATTTTGAAGCTAAGAATTGTTTGAAGTTAAAAGAGACAAACCTCTGGCGTTCTTGTTTATACTGTTGAGTACACTCGTCAACGAGCTTTTGATTCATTTCCATGAATAATTTTAATGCGTTGTAAATGAGTCCATGGATGGTCCTGCAAAAAGAAAACAGGTGTGAACTTTCGTATCTACCATCACAGATTACAAGTAATCGTAATGAAATTGTGTGACAGTAGCTTACTTGTTCCAGTGAGATTTGGAATTGCGGTAAAGAGCAGGGAACATGATAGGAAGGATCTCAGAAGCATTGTCTCCAACAAGTGACATGATATATTCGTTGTTCCAATAATACAATGCTCTTTCAGCAACCTGCGGGAATATAATATGTTATAAACTCCAGCAAAACTATAAATAACGACTAAATAAAGGATTCTTGTTACAATTACCTGAAAATGAGGACTTGATACACATTTGGCAAGCTGTCTGAATAATGGATCCATAATTTTCTGGAATTCTCCAGGCTCAATAACATCCAGAATCTCTTCTAGCTCATTTAAAAACATCACCTGAACAGAGAAAGTCAAATTATTAGACATAAAAAGGAAAATAAAGAAACAAAGCCAGATGAAAATGAATGTATACCTCTTTAGGAGCATGTGTCTTTGGCCAAAATTTGAGAAGAGATTTAATAACTGGCTCTGTTAGACTGGCATCTTTTTCTAAGAACTGAACTATGCAATAAGCCAACTGTGCATGGTAGGCAGACAGTTGTTTTGCTTTGTGCAGAGGCAGAAGTACTTTCAGCAGGAAAACTTTGTGTTCCTCTTTGAGAGGAAGTGCAAAGCCATTGATGATGCTACAAGGAGTTAAATAGAAATATGAGAATGAAACCCGTTTTCAAACAAAATACTGCAATGAGAAAAAAAATCATTATCTACAATAATGTTACCTTCCCAAGATTTCCAAGAGCTCCCCTATTCCATTGTGACGTTCAGTTTCATAAATGAACCTGCAGGAAGTTATATGTTATTATGTATGTTAATATGTTATTAATATTCTTGGATCATCATCCAGACTGCATGACACTACAGTACGAAAATTGTTACTTCGACATCTCCATTTACCGGTAAAAGATGTTGTTGATTTGTTTACGAATGTATGCGCGCAAACCCAGGAACTTTCCATATATTCTATGGAGTGTAGTCTTCAAGAAGTCTCTCTCCCTTGGATCTTCAGAGTCAAACAATTCCAATAATTGCAAGACAAACTTTTGATCAATGTATGGTTTTGCATGATTTGGTTGGAAATCAGGAGATTCCAAAAATCTGAGGGTGAAGAAAATGATGCACTCAGTAATAATAGGAGACTATTTAAGAAAATTTGCTTCTCAGCACTCAGCAAGATACTAACCTGAGAAAGAATTCATATACATATTGCAGATGAGGCCAGGCAGCTTCCAGCGTAGGTTCATCCTCTTCAGGGTCAAACTCTGCTCCACTAGGATTTTGCGATGGAGGCAGAGTTCGGAAGAGGTTTACAGCAAACTAAATAAACAAAGTGAACAAAAAACATTTTAGAAATAACAGATTGACGCAATAATTGAGTATGAACAAATAGTAAGAGGCAAGCAGACTGTTAACATGTAATGGTAACTCACCATATTCACAACTTCTGGGTATATAGCGGGTGTGATGACATTTTTCTGTGTTGTGACGTAGTCCACCATCTCGCTCAGAGCAGCTCGCTTTACCTCTTTGCATTTTAGATCAGATAGAGGTTCAGATGCAAAATCAAAGAGAACACAACATTGTCGAATCTTCTGGACAAATAGTTCTTCCTGCTCATTAGGGGGTGCCTCTGAAATGACAAATAAAAATTCAAAATTATTACCAAGTCTTGCAACAAAAATATTCCAACATGTCATCTCCAAGCATGGAGGGTAAAATATGCATCCACAACACAGAACAATGACAATTTATCCGGAAGGCAGTAGTGAGTTTGTTTGGCGAGAAAAGACAAAGACTCTGTCATCGCAATCTATCGGATCACACTGCTCCAAGTTGGGAAACTGCACCCTAACATACCCAGCAAGAGGGACAGCTGCCTGCCCGCAGTGCTGGCTGCCTTCGCGTTCGGGCCGCTCAGGCCGTTGGGGCCGAGGCCCTGGAGGGCGTCATCCTGGAGGGCTGCCCCTGCCTCCCTGCTACTGTCACGCAAGGGGGGCGGGTTGGCCGGCGCGGCCCCGCCCCCGACAACACCAGCCACACCACCCCGCCCGTTGGCCATGGCTGCAGACACTGACTCGGCCGAGGCCAGGTTGGAGGCTAGATCCAAGCCGCTGTGGAAGCTCGGAGACTTGGGGATGCCGAGGGGGTCCCGGACCATCCCCGTGCTCACTTCACTGTGCACCATGCCCGTCCGAACGGTCCACGGCACTCGTTCGCGTCCTCAGCGCGCGCTGCCACAGCCGTCATGTCACAGCGGGCAGGGAGTGCGCGGCCAACTACAAGCACTGCGGCCAGTCCAGGCGCCAGACAGAGGGGCGACGGCGGTCGGCGCCATCCTGGACGGCGTCCTCGGCACCGGGGAACGGGCGAAGGGTCCGCAGCCACTCCGCGGGGAGTGTGGCGGGACCGTCGGGGCTCCAACACTGTGGCGTCCTTGTTCTTGTTGTCGGGGTACAGGTTAGGGCTGCCGTCTGTGCGCACTCTGGCGCCGCGACGCCTCGTCCGCGGGGCCGCGGGGCAACGCCACGCCACGGACGGCGGGCCAGGACAACGGGAGCCACACGACGCGGGGCACGCCCTCGAGGACGCCGACGTCAACGCCGCCAATTCCGCCGCGACGCTACGCACAGTCCGAGTCCGCAGTGAGGCCCATCCTCCATTCCATCATGGCCGCCGCTCCGCGCTCCGCTCTCGGGCTGCTGGCCCTAGCTGGCCCTGCTGGCCCTGCTGGCTGCGGCGGGCTGGCTGGCGGCTTGCCGCCTGGCGCGGCCTCCGGCTGCCAGCAGCGGCTGCCCGCCAGGCCTGGCTCCACAGGTAGCATGCTGGCTCCTGGCTCTGGTCGTCGAGCTCGACGTGGGCCTGCTTGGAGGCAATGGGAGCTGTCTGCACGGCCACGCGGGCCCGCAGGTGCAGGACAAGGTGTCCCAATGCCCACGGTCTTCACCACCTCCAGGGCCTGGCGGGCCAGGCGGGGCTCGGCCACGATGCCGCGGGGCGGGTGGGGCGTGGCGGGGCGTGGCGTGGCGGGGCGGGCAGCGCGACCATACGATCAATGAAACTCTGCGCCCTCTGTGCCGCGGCCGCGTGGCGCGCGGCCCGCGTCCACAGCCCCGCGCGTCACCACACTGCGAGGGCAGAGCCAGGCAGAGCACTCAAAGCAACCGACACTTGGCCACCAGGGCGGTCAACACGCAGGCCGCCCCTCAAGGCACTCCCCCGTCAAGGCTTCGCACGGCTGCTGCAAGTCCAGCGCGTGCCGCCTGGACGGCCTGGACCCGACACAGTGCACAAGCAGAGGGGGGCAGCACGGCAGCGTGCCGAGATTCAGGGGAGGCCCGCGGCACTTCCAGGCACTGCCAGGCACTGCGCACGCGCGGGGAAGAGCACGCCGCCGCTGGAGCTAGCTGTGCTCTGTCTCTCTCGCACCGCCTGCGGGACTAAGGTGGACGCCCAGGACGCCCCCACGACCGCGACGGAGACAGTGTCTGACACGGCCACCAAAGCGCCGTTCGGAAGCAGCCTGCTGGAGCAAGCTGCAGGGGAGGAAGCACGGCGAAGCACAACGGGAACAAGGGGAGGACAGGACAAGTCAAGGCTGAACGGCTTTCCGCTAAAACCACGGGCAAGGCCAGGCAAGGCCAGGCATTGCTTCACCCCTTCAGACCGCCACGTGAGTGCGAGAGAGAGCACTGTTCGCAATCAGCCTGCCTGCCAGTGTCCTCGCGAAAAGACCAGTGCACGGGCACGCACGCGCCGCGCTATCTCCCGCGCGTCGGCGACGAGGAATCGAAATCCGGGCGGTCGCCTGCTCTGCCTGCTCGAGTCTAATCACTACCTCCGACACTAGAAGGCGTTAGCGAGGTACCCGCCGGGCGACCGCGGCCCCACTCGCTTCTTTTAATAGATACGGCGTCATGCAGCCGTCTGCACTTGGCGGATTTGGCGGCGGGCGGACCTTCTTCGCGGCCCCCCTCCCCTCTCGAGACTACGTGTAAACACTAGACGTTGGCCCCGCACCGCTCACAAGGCAGACACTCCCGCTCAGAGAGACGGCTCTGGCAGACACCGGTGGTCCCCAGTCGCCAGCGCATCGCGTAAGCTTACGACGTAATTTGCGTTAGAGAGACAGAGCGGCAGGGGCGCATCCAGGGGAGGCTCGGTCATCTTCCAAGCCCCCTCAAAGGGGAGGGGAGGTGTCACATCAACCCTTCCTGAACCTCTCTCTGCCTGGATCCACCCCTGGACCGACCGCGACCAGGACGGACCCAGGACTGCCGAGCCGGCCGGGCAGACGCTGGCCAAACGCCGCACCTCGGACTGCACACACTGTATACACACAGAGACATGACAGTCGCAAATTCAATCACGGCGGGGAGCACACAGGCCGCGCGGCCCGGCGAGGCCCTTCGCCGAGGTGCGGCCGTGCGGCGGCTAACTTCCGAAGCGGCTCGGCTTTCAGCGCCCGACGCCCCAATTAGCGAGCTGCCCGCCTCGTCGGGGGCCGCGGGGGCCGCGCAGACATTTCCATTAAAAGGAGCCGGCCAACCAGAAAGGCGCCATCGGGAGCAGCCGGCGCGGTGCGCGAAGCTGCGCGAAGCACGCCGAGCCGAAGATGGGGCAGACAAAGATGGCTCCGGGGGGTCGCTGCAGAGGTCCGAATTTTCCACTTCGGGAAACATTCGCATGGGACTTCCCTCCTATCAAGACTTGACAGCGAGAGGGGAAAAGGGGGTGAGGAAGAACAACGCTTTCAACCCTTCCCATTTTAGCGTCCAGCTGAAACATAACCGCACAATAAATGTCGTGAATTTTTTTTTTTCGGTCCCGATAAGCACAATTTTGTGTCCGCCAGGCGCCTGGCGATACAAACGGCTTAATGAAAGAGCACTTTGTGGTAAGCTCCGGGCGGGAACAAACTTGGATGTGCATAAAATGGCATAACTCGCGTGACGAAAAGTGTCCCCCGTGACATTCAGTGTGCGCGCCCACGTCATCCAGGAGACTCAGAGCGTCGCGTCCATTCCTCACCTTTGATGGGCGGCAGGCGCACCAGCTCCACGTTCTTGGAGGCGTTGAAGCGCGACGAGTTGCGGCGCCCGTCCTTCTTGATGTGCGGCGAGGCGCTCGACAGCTTGTTGATGGGCACGGGCGGCGGCGGCCCGTGCGGCGCGCCGTGCGCCGGGTGGCCGCCATGTCCCAGCGGAGCGGCGTGGAGCTGCTCGCCGGCCGCCACCGCGCCTCCGCCCGGCGCGCCCGGTCCACCGGCCGGCGTCGGCGCCGCCACCTGAAAAAGCAGAGCAAAAAGAGTCAGGCGGGGACGTCAGGGTGCCAGAGTACACGCGCCGCGGCGCCGCGGGCACGGCAAAAATTAACGCATTGAGGAGGTACATCGGGGAGGTGCATCGGGGAGGGGCATCGGGGAGGCGCTAGACTCATTCCGAGAGTCACTTGTCTTTCTCGCACCTCCAAATCAATTTCCAGCCGAGCGATTCCGAAAGCATCGGAGGAGTCGCTCCGAGACAGGGCGACGAAAGCAGTCCTGCCTTCCGAACCGCTCGGCCGGAAGGACCGCCCAGTCTAACCCGGGGCGCGCGCAAACGGATTGACGTTGAGGAGCGAGCCGAGGCGGTGCAAGGGGGAGCGCTGCATCCGCCCGACAGGCCGACAGCGAGCTTCCTAGTAGGGCTTTGCCGGTGGGCGAAAAGTCGCACACCTCGCTCGGCACCTGCGACCGCAGGCCGAGTCCGAACAAGTGCTTTCGTCGGTCTGTCTCTCTCGCACCCATGGGGCGCCCCGAGGCGGCGCGAGAGAGACAGCGCGAGGAAGCTCTTCGTTCGGAACCAGACCACTGGCGGGGCCTGGCGGCCCGACTACGGGAACGTCGCCACCACCGCTCTAACCATTTCCAGGCAGTGCAGTGCCTGTCGAGGGGATTGACACAGAACCATTCAAGCTTCCCATCCTTTCCAAAAACGACCACCGAGTGACACACTCGTCACACAGCAACACCACTCGGGCCAACCTCCAATGACAGGCATCAAATGGCACCGTTATTTGCCGCTCAACAAGCAAACTTTTCTCCAATAACCTCGCCGACAGCCATCAGTAAGGCGAAGCCGGCGCCCCCTCGACGAGACTGGGGATTTCATTTCATTTCATTTCCAGCCCCATCAGCCTGCTCGCCCGCATACCGCCCCAGGTTCCATTTCCGGCACGCTGCTCTGGTGGAGCGACGGGGAGAGAAGAGAGAGAGAGAAAGAGAGAGGGGAGAGGAGGGAAATCAGCAAATAACGACAACAAAATCCAGGAGCTCGACTGAATGAGGCGAGCCTCGCGATTCGTGATTCGATGGTGGGCGTCACTGGAGCGTAACTTGCGTGTCACTAAGGTGTCACTGGAGCGTCACTGGGGCGTCTCTGAGGCGTCACTGGGGCGTCACTGGGGCGTCACTGTGGCGTCTCTGAGGCGTCAGCGTCACTGGGGCGTCGGAGCGTCACTGGGGCGTCACGGACAAGTCACTGGGGCTTCCCCTGGCGGTGCTGGCGCCGCGACGCACCGGTGTGTTCGGTTCGGTCCCACGCGTCCTTGCCGGTCTTGCCACTACGCTAATAGTGGCCTTCACTTCCGACGGAATAACGACCAGTGATTGGCGGGCCGGCAAAACAACGGCCGGCACAGCCTCGTCTCGTATCGCCGACATCCATCGGCCTCAGCCGCATTAAAAATTAGCTTTTTGTTTCATCGAGCACGCCGTCCTGGCGACAATCCAGACCCTCGTTGGCCTACAGTGTGGGCATCGTAGACACAAACAAGCCTACACACACAGTGCCGGCGCGCACCTTGTCTAGCTTGCAGCTCGGCGGAGTTTCCAATGCGACTGCTGCCTGCCGGTGCCGTATGCGCGCGAGAAAGAGAGCCCGCCAAAGTGTGCAGTGCGATTCGAGACAGAGAGAGAGAGAGCAAGCGAGACAGTCGGCTGGCACCATCATTGGCCGCGGGGACGTCGACCCTGGCCGTGCCGGGCCGTGCCCACAAACAGCGAGCAATCGGCTGCACCGCGCCGCCTGCAGCTCACTGATGCCGAAGTCGCTCTGTCTCTGTCGCACTCGCGGGGCCGTCCCGTAAGGGGGGCGACAGAGCGATCAAACGACTCTTGGGAATCGCTCCGGAGGCGGGAGCCGGGAGCGCCTGCGGAGCGCAAGGCGGGCCGCCCCGCCAAGCACGCGTGCCTCGTGGAGGCCCTGCTGGCCCGCCTTCCGGGCGCTCGCCGCCGCCGCTCCGCCTCACCCTACGGGACCCAACGCGCACCGTCGCTCTGTCTCTCTCCAACTCATGGGGCGTTCCTTACATGAGCGAGAGAGACAGAGCGACGGAGCGCAGTTCGGCATCAGCCCGCAGACGCAATCCGGAGCACCGCGGTGGTCCGGCAGACACGCAGTAAACCCGGATCGGCTACGCGGCAACGCCACTGTAACGCCCGGGAAGCACGCACTCGCGCTCAAAGACGTCCTCCTCCAGGCAGCCATCTTTTTTAACGCAGTACCATTCCGCAAAGTACCGGGGCGGGCGTCTGCGATGCGGCAGTGGCGGCAGCGAGGCGCGGGGCGTCGGATGAGAAATTGCGGCAGGGGTGCGCGGCGGTGCGGCGGGCGAGGCGGCGGCGGGGGCGTGCGCACCGGAGCGCCGCGCAAGGGCCTTGGAGAGCGCTAACAAGTCCGGGGCCGCTTAGAACGAGAAGCGTCTTCGTTAAATTTGGCCCGAGCGGCTGGTTTCGACGTCGTCTGCGCTTACCGAGAGGGTGCTGGCTGGAGGGGCTGGCGGCGACGGCCTAGGCGGGGGCGAGGCAGGTGCGGTGGGCCAGGCGGGCCGGGACGTGGAGGCCTTGGGCTCGGCCTTGGCCTCAGCCTTGGGGGCAAAGGGGTGCATCGCCTCCCAGCTCAACCTCCGGAAGAAGCTGGCCACCGACTCCGGCATCGCCGCCTTGGCCAGCTTGGCCCTGGTCTTGGAGGGCGAACCAGGGTTCCTCGGAGGGTCCAGCGTTCGCCGTGGGTCAACCGCGGGCCGAGCGACGACGGGATCTGGGGGTCGACCGCCAAAGGGTTCGGGCAAGGGCGACACTACCGGGGCGGGGACGGGGACCGCCAAGGGCACCGCGGGGTGGACTGAGCTGCACACGTGGGGCGGAAAAGAGATCCGCTGGCGGGAGTGTAATCAGGGGAATGGATCCGTCAATACGCCACGCGCGGAGCCGAGCCGAGCCAGACGGTCCACTCGGGGACTCGGCACGAGGCCGGAGTTGGAAACCTCTCGGAAGCAGAGTGGCGGCGGCGGCAGACTCTCGGAAAGTTGAGCGCCAGATCGCCCCGCCGCTCTCCATCGAGGCGGAGCTGCGGAGCGCGTTCCAGGAATACAACGTTGGCGCACCTACGCACCTACCCCTGGCGCCGACAGCGCCGCCCACGGCCCCAGCTCAATACAAGCAGCGCCGCCCTGTCTCGCTCGCACCCCCGGGGCCGCCAGGGGCCGCCAGGGGCACCACCGGAGCGAGAGAGACGGAGCGACCAAAGCACTGGAATCAGCCTGGAGCAACGCGGTGGGCGAAGGGCGTGCAATCTCTGCCTGCAGGCTGGGCGCGATCCTCCCCTCGAGGAGCTCGATCGGGCTTCGGCCGTCCTCACCCACACGCTGGCCAGCGCCGGCCGGGCCTGGCCGTCCCCGGCGTCGTAAACATGACGGACACCACCCGCGGGGCCCATGAGCCCCGCCCCCCCTAAAGCAGCTGTGGGCCTTGTGGGGCTGCAAGGACGGGAACGGGCGACATGCAAGCCATGCCGACTGGCCATGTTTACACCGAGCAGCCCATGGCCGCCACGGCCGCGCGGACGGGCTGCGACCACGGCGCGGAATGTCCCCAAAGGGCGTCGTCGCCGGGGTAGGGGGGGGGGGGAGGCAAAGGAAGGGTGGCCACGCCAGGGTAGCCAATGAGGGGCAGCCAATGAGAGGCCACCTGGGAAGGGACGCCAAGAAAGGGCCGCCAAAAAGAGCGGCCAAAAAAAAATGGACGCAAACGGAAGGGCTGCCAAACGAAGATCAGCAAAGGAACGCGGAAGGTTCCCCACTCCAAGAAGGAACGGTCACCGAGGAGAGGAGGGGTCGCCAGGGAAGGGCCACCGCAAAGGGGCTCGCCATGCTCCGCCATGCTCCGCCACCACCCCCACCGCCGCGACCTCCTCAAGGGCCGTCCCTTTGAGCAGGGCCGGCCGCACAGACGCCACGCCGCAGCATCCTCGCGGCGCTCGCTCCGCCGGAATTCCCTCCAAACATTCCAAAGTGGGCGACGGCACCGGACGGTACGGCACAACATCATCCAGCCTTCGGTGCATTGCAGCGCCGCGAACTACGCTAAGGGCTGTACACGGGGCGGGCGCACACTCCGCCACGCCACAGCAATCTACAGCAGAAGCACACAGCGCTCTAGGCGCGATAAACAAAGAGCGGCTGCAGCGCGCCAAGCGGCGCCAAGCGGCGCCAAAGTTTTAAATAGGACCGCCACTCGCCTCGTCCTTGTCCTCCCCGCAGTCCCCGCGCCAGGCGAGGTAGTCGCGCCGCGACATCGCCTCCTTGTTTACAAACAACGCCGACGGTTCGGGGGGCCCCGAACGGGACGAGCGGGGAAGGGTGCCCCGCGAGGAGCGCGTGCCACGGCGCACGTTCGAACAAACGCACCGACACGCACTCACGGACAAACGCGCGTCCCGGTCCAAACGAACGAGCACGCAGTCGCGGAACCTGAACGCCAGGCAGACGGTAGTCGCCGCCGACGTACATACCGTCCTACCATTGTTCGCGGAAACGCAACCAAAAAAACCTACGCGCGATCAACAATGCGAGGGGATTCGGGCACGCGGGCTCGAACGGGGACGCAGCGGGGAAGCGGTGCAGCCTCCGTTCACCTGGGAGGCGACCTGCGCGTAGGAGGCACAGGCGCGCGCAGGCAGTGCTCTGATACAATGTTGACGCACCGTTACCGGCCCACCTGCGTCACGCCGCACCAACGGGTACGCGACGTCCCGGTCCAAACCGCCAGACCGAGCACCCTGCCGCGTCGCGGACACCTGACACGCCACACGCACGGGCCCGCCGACTCACATAACCGACTGCCACTCACACATGGTCGCGAGAAAGACCGAAACAACGACGACGACAAAAAGCCGATACGCGGCGATCACAATGGGGAGGGGGAGGGGGCACGCGGGGCTACGCGGGGCCCAGCGGGGCCACGGTGCAGCGCTCCTTCACCTGGGAGGCGCACGGCTAGCGCGGCTAGCGCACGGCACGACAGCGCGCGCGGCACGGACACGGGCTCTGCATCAACTGTTGCGCCCGTATAGCCTGGCCCAGCCTGGCCGCCAAGCCGCCACCACGGGGTACCGCGCCCCACGCCCCGCGCCCCGCCAGCCACGCGACCCACCGCCGCGCCCCACCCGCCCCGCCCCGCCCCGCGGGTCACACCGCACCTGATTGGCTGTCGGCCGGCACGCCGCCCGGACGTCACCGTGCGGTCGAGCACGCCGCGCACGCCCCACCACATCATCATCAACCGGCAGCAAAATCGAAGCCCGACTCCCGACTCCGAAACGCAGGCCAGACTGGCTGGAGCGCACAATAAGTAATGAGTACACTGTGCGCGCCGTTCCGTCTCTCTCTCTCTCTCTCTCTGCGCGTCGTCCGCGACGCACTCCACTCCAGAGCCGCCAGCAAACAGATCCGAGAGTCCCGTCGCTCTGTCTCTCTCGCACCTGAGCGCGACGCCGCATGAGTGCGAGGGAGCCAGAACCAGTCTGCTGAAAACAATGGTAATCCAACACGACACAAAACGGCAGCGCGAGCCGCGCGAGCTGAGCCTCGCCACGCGCAGCGCGCAGCCCGGCGCAGCCACGCGCCACCTGCCAGGCCTGCCAGGCCTGCCAGGCCTTCCAGGCGCCGCAAAGAATGACGCGGGTATGACGTCACGCGTACCGCCGAGTATTTCGGCCGCGCTTTAAAAATACCTTGAGCGGCCTGGAGGACCAATACACACAGAGGGGTCCGGAGCGCCAACCTTCCAAAACGAAACCGCGGATGAAAATAGACGGACACACCCTCCCTCCTGCGCCCCGACGGCCCGACGGCAGTGACGTCACAGCATGTTTCACTTTATTCCTCGGCGAGGGGTGGGGGTGGGGGTGGCGCTGCCAGCGAGAGGCGAAACGAAGCTGACTCCGGGTCGGCTGCTTTGCTGGCTGGGCTTGGTGCTGTCGCGCGGAAACTACGGCACTCGCTCACGCGCGCGATCACAACCCCGACTCTCCCTCTCTCTCTCTCTCTCCCTCTTCCGCCCCGAGACGCGGGCACGGCGGGCACGCGGGGGAGCAGGAACTGCCATTACCCGCTGGGCGCGCTCCACTCTCCACTTGACAGCGCACAGTCTGGCACAGTGCACCACGCCGCCTGCAGTGCACAGTGGGCCAGACGGCCGGTGCCGGCGGCCAAAACACTAGGCGCGTTTCGAGCTCCAGAGTCGCTAAATGAAACTCGAACCGAACGTGTGACCCCACCAATGGATTGCTCTCCGAACGAGCAATCCATTGGTGGGGTCACACGCTCGGTTCGAGTCCCGCATAGCGACTCTGGAGCTCAAAACGCGTCCAGAGTTTTGGCCGCCTCCACCAGTCTTCAGGCCCACTGTGCAGTGCTGCGCCGAGCCGACGGGGCTGTTCGACAGGAGCTGTTGTGACACGCGGGGGGAGGGTACAAAGTGATTCCGGGGGGAGGGGAAGACGACAGGAGAAAACAGAGGGTGCAGAGTGACATGGAAAGGAAAGGGGTGGAAACCAAAGTGACAGGGAATTAACACGGGGTGTGTAAAGCGACACGATGAGGAAGTGACCGTCGCGTGAAGGGGTTGAAGTGACAGACAAGGGAGGGGTGGAGCGACAGGACGGCAGAACAGAAAGTGGGGGGGGGGGCCTCGCCCAGGGCAGAAGAGGTGGGACTAGAGTGACAGGGAAGACCGTGTGAGACGGGAGGGGGGGCTGAGCCTCGTGCATGCGGGTGCGCGACTGAGCCACGGCGAGCCCCTACGCACACAGGTGCAACGGCCCCCAATACGCACGCCGTGCAGCGAGGAGAGAAAGCTGGCGGGCCTTTTATCTCCGTCTCAGTCGCACTGGCGGGCGAAAGGCGTCGGCCGGGCCGGGCCGGGCGACACGTTGGGCAACGCGGCGACAGAGAGGGACGCACCGACCGCGCGCACCGCTAGCCAGCAGCGCGCTCCGCGGCGGGGCGCAACGGGTACCCAACGGCCGAGCCAGCCGACACACTGTAGACCGACTCCGAGGAGTCGCCCCGTCTCGCTCGCACTCGCGGGGCGTCCTGCAGCGGCGCGAGAGAGACAGAGCGACGAAACGAGTCTTGGAGACGGCTCGCCTGGAACGCCGTTTTCATTAAATTAAACCGATCGGCACTTCTGGCGGCAGGGCGACACATTTGGCCGCTTATCGCCCCCCCCCCTTTCCGCCACCACACGCAGCGCGGCTCCACGCGAGACGCGAGCATAATCACCATGCGGGCCCAACAAAAACACGGCGACTGCCAACGACACCAAATTAATGGTTCGAGCAGCAAGAACGGTGTCGTCGGCGACACGCGTGCAAAGAGACAGCTCGAAACATCGAAATCAGTCGCGTTGCAAGACGAGGCACGGCGCTCTGCGCGGCGTACCAGGGGGTGCGAGGGAGACACGCGACGAGGGCTGCCGGCACTTCCTCTCCGGCGAGCGCCAATCCTAATCGGGGGCCGCAAGCTGGCTGTGGCCAAAAGACGCGGCACCGGCAAACGCGAGCAGACGGCTGTCAAAAGGACGCGCCGAGGACGCGTCGAAATGGCCAAAAGGCGCCAAAAGGGTGCAGAGAGGACGCCACACGCACGGCGACGTCCATGCAGTGCCGGAATCCCCGCGGCGTCCTTTTCAGAGTCGCCGTCCCCCTCTTGGCGAGGGGAGGGGGAGGGGGGGGGGAGGAGTAGCGAGCGTACTGTACTTCCCTGCGCGGTCCGCTCCGCGGCTCCGCGGTCGGTGTCGGTGCCGTCGGTGCGGCCGTAATGGGTGTGAGATACGAGGGGTTGGATCCGCCGGGACGGCCTGGCCTAGGATCGGCCGAAGGATGAAGATACGGCCGACGGCCGCCGCGCCGCTAAAGCAGCTAAAGCCAGGCCGCTGGCACCGCTGGCCGCTAGAGCCGCTCTAGCGCGGGGCAGCGGGGCAGCGGCACGCCACGCCGGCGCGACGCCGGCAGGACAGGACAAGTTGCACGGACTCGTTCCGCCTTCGGCCCAGCTGAGTCCTCCGTCTCTCTCGCACCCACACGAGACGCCCCGTGAGTGGGAGAGAGACGGAGCGACGAAAGCGACTCTCGGAATCGGTCTGCAGCGTCGCGAGGCCGAGGCGGGGACCGCGGAGACGCCCGGTGCAGTGCCATGCGAGTCAGCCGGCCAGCCGACGGGCGGCGGGGCGGGGCGGGGCGGGGCGGGGTGGGGCAGCGGGGCGTGTGTTTGGAATGCTGCCCCGCCCCGTCGACGCAGGTTGCGCGGGTACCCAGGAATTTTAAAATAGAGATTCACTTGCTGCTACTCCTAGTGTGGGTCCGGCCCGGCGCGGTCCGTGCATGCTACACGCTGCATGAATAACACAGCAGCCTTGCATTATGGCCACCGCCACAGCACAGCATGCACCTGTCTCGGTGACCTTGTACTTGCAAAGGGAGCTCTGTCACTTTCCGCTGTCTTACAATTATGCAGGGGTGGAGAGTGCAACAAACCACGGTGAAACAAGCCAGGGTACGCCACAGGACGCCTTGCAATTGCTTCAAAACCTAACGGCCTATCTCACAAAAGTGAAAGGAATGAGAACGCATAGAATAAATAACAAATCACTGATGATCATGAATGTCAGTGAGTATCCACAACAAAATCCTAGCCCATGCATACATATTTTATTACATAAATAAATATTTTTGTTTGATACGAAACTGAGATCTCTCCATGGCTTACTTGGAAACGAGGGAAGGGCGACTTGTTGAGGATAATACTAAATAACTTTTAATTAAATAAGGTGAAAAAAATTATAACCCCTTTATCAAATGGAATTACTTACCTCTTCTGTATTATCACGCATCCCGGGTTCCTGTTAGGAAAAGAACTGTATGAAACACTTGCAACAAGAGAGGAATACACAACCCTTCCCCCTTATATTTAAATTCATTCAGCAGAAATAAATGATGCTAGGAAACCAGACAGAAGGTCATATCAGCTAAGATGCGATTTAAGGAAAGAATAAGGCTAATCTGCCGACTAAACACAATACAGTACTTCATTAAGAGGCAAGGAATTCAGGTTGAGAGTGGAGAAGTAATCACAGGCATGAGACCCGAGAGACGCAGAATGCGATATACTTCGGCATTTATTATGATTATGACAGTGATGGCTAAAATAACGCAACGAAACAAACACCAAAGCTTACCATTTTGATAAAAGCTTGGAAAACACACTAGAAATGCATCACTAAGTGGCACCTGTCATAACCTTCCCGAACTTAACACGTACGCGGACTAGGCAGGCTTTTCGAGGTGGATCGTCACTGGCATAAATTTCCAACACGCACAAAGAGACAAAATAACGTTGTAAAAGGCAAAAGGCAGACGACAGTAAAAATCCTACTCAATAAAACAAAATAAATTAAGAATGTGTTCACCCTGTATATAACCCCTGTAACCCTAATTCTTTTTCAAGACAGAATTTCAGTTACAGAGCAGAGATAGGAGGCGGTGGGCGGCGCGGCTGCGCACGCGCGGTTTCGGAGAGACGGCACCGGATGTGGTACCAAGGTTACCAACCTGCGCGCCTGCGGCGAAAACGCGCTCTGACGGCCACATATTCGGCGAAACAGGCTTTGTCATAGGCGGACAACATTCCTTGTGGGAATTTGAGCCAGTCATAGAGGAAAGAGAACATTTTTGAAATGATTATATAGTTCTTTTCAGATATGTACAGAAATATCGTAACCGCATTCATAATATCCCGCGGCCGCGAGGGGACGAGCGGATGCATGCGCGTGGACATATAGTACCAACATACAGAAAACACATTTCATCGAAAAAGACGTGGGTTTTGTGGATGAACGTGAATTTAATCATTCTGCTGCATAAAGAATGGTTAGGATGTATGTATTTTTAAAAAAAACAAACTTTCTGTGGAAGTTGTTCTTATAGCTCGCTCCGATTTTGTACGGGCCGTTGGCCAAAAGCGAAAGCTTTTCCCGCCCAATCACAGTAGTAAGGTGATTCGTCTTGGGGACGAATTGCCGATCGCCTACAGTTGCCTCGAAAAGTGGAGATCGACCCGATTTCGACGCTTGTAGGAGAAAACAAAAGAGACTCCAGTTTAGCACGCCATCGCGTCATAGCGCCGGGAGGTCCCGACCCCGACCACCCCGACGCGCGCAAAGGGCTGTCAAACCGTGTCAAACTGTCCTGTTAAAATGTTATGACCCCAACAATGGAGGGGTGGGGATGTTTACGCGCTTTGACAACAATGCCCCCGAGGCTCGCGGCTGTACCGTAGCAGTCTAGGCTATATTGACGGGGTTTGGGCTTGGGCTTGGGGTTGGGGGAAGACCATCCCATCTGTCAATGCCAAGTTTAGGTCTAGTCACCATGGCAACGCAAACATTTTCAGCGCTGCCCGCGCACGCCAACGTTCCGCCAGAAACTGCTCGTGCATGCCTCTATTACGCTGAAACTTTGTAACCTTGTTTTGTAAACTCGCCAGTAAATCAGCGATAGTGGTGGTAAATTCTGTTTATTAATTTTGGCGGCGCAGAGCTTTAGCTTCGCGTGCACCCCTCCATCCCCTCAACTCCTACTCCTGCCCCCCGCGCTCGTCCCGTCGCAGTCTGGCACTCGCTACAGCTTTGCAACCGGCTTCGGGACTTCCCTCCCGTTCGACCCGAGACATGGATCAAGCTCTAGACGAACGCGAAAAAATTCATAAACGGACTTGACGCCACATCCGTTGAGAAAGTATGCAGTTTTGTGGCCGAGAGCGCTAGCCTCGTGGCGGGCGGTGCTCAAGCAGGGCGACGAACACAGCCGGGGCGACACCGCTGGGCCGCAGAGACAGACGTCGGCGACGATGCCGTGGGTCGCCCGAAGCTGTTCCCAAAGGGCGGTTTCATCGCGCTGTCTCTGTCGCACTCATGGGGCGTCCCGTAGGGGTGGGAGAGAGACAGAGCGGCCAAGTGGCCCTTCGGAATCCAGGGTCCGCGGGGGTCTAGGCCGCGGCGGTGGGGAGGGGATCCCGCGGCCGCGGCACAGGGGTAGCAGCAGCAGGGGGCTGGCGGTTGGCGTGGCGGCTGGGCCGAGGCGAGGCGGCCGAGGAGCCGAGGCAGTGTTGCGCGTCACCGCGCTCAGCCAGCAGCAAGGCGAGCAAGGCACCGCGGCCAGAAATAACTGACTCGAGTTCGACGCGGTGCTCGCTGCTCGTGGCTGCTCGGCGCGCGGTGTTTGTCTGCTTCTCTGGTCCTCTGGTTCGACGGGGTCCATCGCGACGCGTGGAGTGGGACGGCCGGGACGGCAGACGCAAGGGCCAAGGGGGCCGCCGAACGCGCGGAACGCGCCCACCAGTGCAGTGATGCTCTTCTACTGGGGCACCAAGCCCGCGCCGCACCCCGACATGGAGTACGTGCAGCTCGCCTCCGGCCACCAGATGCCCGCCGTGGGCCTCGGCACCTGGCAAGTGAGTGACTGCGAGTCGCTGTCGTCGCCCTGTCTCACTCGCACCCCCTGGGCGTTCCTTACAAGTGCGAGAGGGACAGAGCGACGACGACGACTCTCGGAATCAGTCTTCATAGCACCTGCAGCAGTGTGTTTGAATGAACGGGAGTTGCCGCGGGTGAGCAGGTTGGTGGTGTGTCAGTGACTATCCTATCGCACCCGCTCGTATAACACGTGTCTCTGTCCCCGGCGCCGACCGCCTCGGACATCTTGTTGACAAGGGCGTAAGTGTCGCCATGCCCCCCCCCCTTGCCCGGGCTTTCGCGCGTGAAACTAGCACCCCCTCCCCCTTTTACTCCCTCTTTCACGCAGTGTGAGTGGAGGCGGGCACCCCCGCGATGTTACCGCAGAGGTCAGTGAACCTTGAGTTTCACCTTCAATGCCACCCCGTCACCACGCGCATCATCTTCTTACAATTGATAGACGTGTTTAGCGAATGTCCCGCACACTTCTGCGACAAGAGGAGTGGGCAAACTTGAGGTCTCAACAACTCTCTTCCCACCTCCGCCGAATTAGGTGTTCTGATAGGGATCCCAGTGGGGTTGGCTACTGGATGGAGGCGGTGTGGACAGTGTCCCCGCGCGGCGTCCATGGACACGCGCTACGCGGCGCTACGCGATCCGACAACGGATCCTCCGCGACGTCGCCAATGTCACGGATATTGTCGTCTTTGCCAACCCCCTCCCCCTTCCATATCCCCGGGCCGGGGCCGCCCCGCCGCGTCTGCGTTGTCTTCGGTTGCCTTGGCCTTGGGGTACCTTGAGGCCGAGCGTGCAGGGGCACTGGGGCGACGCGGCGGCCTGACGCAACACGCAAGCAAACGAGGTGGCGCCTACCTGAGGTCGCCTAGCTTCACCCTGTAGACTGTGTGTGAGAGACAGAGCGACGAAAACGACTCCCGCAATCAGTCTGCGGAGCGCGCAGCGCGCGAGGCCGAGCGCCTGCGAACTCGGGGGTAGGCAGACCCGCCGCGCTCGGACGCGCTTGGAGAGGCTACCTGCCAGGCGAGAAAGCTTGAAAGGGGAGTGCAGTTTATCTGATGGCTGTCCTTGTCGGTGCGTTGCAGGCGCGGGCCGAGGAGATGGAGCGCGCCGTGCTGGACGCGCTGGAGGCGGGCTACCGGCACTTTGACACGGCCTTCAACTACGGCAACGAGAAGGACATCGGGCGAGTGCTCAAGGACTGGCTGGATCAGGGTCGCGGCAAGCGCGAGGACCTGTTCGTCGTCTCGAAGGTTGGCAAGAGCGCCGTGCGTGTGTCTGGCCGCGCGCGCCAGTCTAGTGTCATTTTGCTTTCATTCGTTTCGGTGGTCTGCCGGGCCACGCCGACTGCAGGCCAACTCACATGCCGTTCTGTCCAGCTGCCGATGTTCGGCAACAAGCCCGAGCTGGTGGAGCCGTACCTGAGGAAGTCGCTGCAGCGGCTGCAGCTGGAGTACCTCGACCTGTACCTGGTGCACCACCCGTTCGGCGTGCAGGCCGACGCGTCCGGGGAGGTGCTGCTGCTGTCGGAGGACGGCTGTCCGACCCTGGACCCGGCCACCGACCACGTCGCCATTTGGAAGGTCATTTGATACCCTAGGACACGCCGTGGAGCAGTGGCGTCGCAAACAATTTGGGGGTGAAAATAAGGAACTAAGACGCCCCCTTGAGCCATTGGCTTGCCGTTGCCTGCTGCAGGAGATGGAGCGGATGGTGGACCTGGGCCTGGTGCGCTCGCTGGGCGTGTCCAACTTCAACGTGGCGCAGGTGCGGCGGCTCGTCAAGGCGGCGCGCGTGCCCGTCTCCGTGAACCAGGTCGAGCTGCACGCGTCGCTGCAGCAGGCCGGCCTGGTGGAGGCGTGCCGAGACCTGGGCGTCGCCATCACCGCCTACTCGCCGCTGGGCTCCCCCGGCGCCCAGTCGCACTTCATCAACAAGTACAACTACAGGTGGGCCGTGTCGCGGTCACATCGGAGTAAAATTTTTTATGAGCTTTTCTTATTTTTGAACATAATTTTGGACCCCCTGCAGCGCGGACAACTTCCCCGACCTGCTGGGTCACCCGGTGGTCCGCGAGCTGAGCATCAAGTACCACAAGACCCCCGGCCAGTTGCTGCTACGGTTCATGCTGCAGCTCAAAGTGGCCGTTATACCCAAGAGTGCCAACCCCACTCGGATACGGGAAAATATCAATGTAAGTATAACTTGTTCGTAGAAAATAAAATTCTCTTAAGATTTTCCCATGGAAATTGACTCAGAAACTTGTCAACAGGTTTTTGATTTTGAACTCAGTCCCGAGGAGGTGCAGTCCATGAGAGCGCTGGACAGAGGTGAAAGTGGGCGGATATTTAACTTCTTCTTCTGGAAAGGGTAAGTCCATTTGAAGCCACCTTATATTCTTTAAGAGTTGACAGAATCCTAAAAATTTTGGGTCTGTGTTTCAGGATAAATAAGCATCCCGAGTACCCATTCCCTTTACCAGATCAAACCGATATAACCCAGTAAAACTTAGCATAATTTATTTTGCATATGCAAATTATTTTTTTATGCTCATTATTTGCTCATTTGTTTAGAGGCTGTTTCTCCTCAATATTAGGAAGGAGAGATGATATAAATTGGCTGTGTTCAGAGTTCAAGCTTATGTAATTTTGAAAGAATCAGAAGCACAATTTATTTCTTAAAACTGTAGCATAAGGCACATTAAGAAAATTAATTTCAAAGACAGTAAATTAATTTTAAAGACATATCATTAAATAAAGTTAAAACATACATAAGGACCGGGTACAGGCAGTGATTTAAATTAATCTGTACAACATTTTCCTCTGCATTCTGTGCTGAAGTTCTCCTCGTCGGATCATTGTGTAAATCACTTTCATAATGGCTCTTTCAGGATATTTCTGAATGAAAAAGGATTTAGAGAAACATGGGATTAGGTTCTGAAAACCGTTTTGCATAAACTTATCTTAAATATATGTTTTAGAACATTGTACCTGTTTCAAAAAGTCCTGGACAATATTCTGCTCAGACACTTGAGAGCCAACAGCAAATCTTCTCTTGAGTTGTCGCTCGATACGAGCCAGCTGTTCTGTATCTTCTTCTGAAGTGAATCCTTCAGCACCCGCAAGGGACCCCGACATGGCAGCATCAAGTGTTGATACTTGGAATAATCGAAGTGCTTCATTGACTTCTTCTTCTCCAGCAAAAGGTTGAAGCTTCATTTTGGCAAGGGATTCTGAGATACGCACAACTGCCTCCAATTGCCTATGAACGAACATAGTGTGCTACAGGTGTTCTCACTGAACATTTCACACTTAATTCATTAACTATATTCAATATACATTACCTCACTGTGATGGGGATGGACATTCTTTTATCAGTCTCAACTTCATGTTCCCGAGTTCCACTCCTCATCAAAACATAGCGGTTCTTAAGTTTCTCACCCGCTTCTGGAGAAAGGCGTGGACCACAGCGACTAGGAAAAGGGAATGCATATTAGTACAGCAGTTGCACACTAGCCTCCCATATGGTATTTGCTATCAAAACTTTAATACTTACAGACGACAATAGTTAATAAACTTCTTGAATACTGGCAGAGATATTTCTCCTTCAGTTGCTGCTTCTTGCAAGGACTGTCCTGCATTCATGTGTACATTCATGATGTGTTTTGCAAGTGTCTGGAAAAAGGATAAAAAACCCCTCAGAATTGCAAACACGCAATGCATAGAACAGAAAAAAGTAATACAGTATGTACTGGTTTATTGATACAAAACTTACCACATCCCTATTCTCATTATGTTCATCTTTGACAATGAAGATCATGTCAAAACGAGACAAGATGGTGGGCATGAAGTCAATATTTTCTTCACCTTTAGTCTCATCCCAACGACCAAAAATGGAATTAGCGGCAGCAAGCACAGAACATCTGGAGTTCAAGGTAGTTGTGATTCCTGCCTGTAAAAATTTATTGAAGTATTTTGATCCTGTTTTACTGTGGATAGAAAGGGTCTAGGATATAATGGTAGGCTGGGATAAATACCTTTGCAATTGAAATGGTCTGTTGCTCCATGGCTTCATGGATGGCTACTCTGTCATCTTCCCTCATTTTGTCAAACTCATCAATACAGACAACACCCCCATCCGCTAAAACCATAGCACCTCCCTCCATTACAAAATTTCGCTGCAAAATGAAATAAAAATTGAATTTTAAATGCTGCAGTATTGCTCAGGACAGGTAAAGAATTTGTCTCAAATCTAGTCCATCAGATGGCCCCTCGCTCAAGCGTCAACAGAGAAGTTTCAGGTTTGAGCTGAGAGTACAAAATGTGCTCCTCAGGCAAACCAATGGCGATCATCACAAAGACTTGTTGAATATATTTATTAGACTATTGGTAATTGGGGAAAGACTAAATGCATCAGATGGCCCCTCGCTCAGCTGTCAACAGAGTAATATCAGGTCTGGAGCTGAGAGTACAAATTGTTCTCCTCAGACAGACTGATGGCGATCATCACATGCGGTTAAAAACAAAGCTAGAAGGAAAACGCTTACGGAAACTGGGTCTCGTGTCACAGATGCAGTAAGACCAGCAGCAGATGAACCTTTGCCAGATGTGTAGACAGCAATTGGTGCCACCCTCTCTGCAAATTTAAGGATCTGAGACTTTGCAGTACCAGGGTCTCCAAGTAGCAGAATGTTGATGTCTCCTCTTCTTGTGAGATTATCAGGCAACCGTTTCCTTGAACCTAGATGGGGAATGCAGAGCATAAATTTTTAAGAAGAACTGACAGGTGAAATAATACTAAATAAATTGCAGTGGCACATACCACCGAACAAAAGGCAAGTAAGGGCCTTCTTGATGTCAGCAAAACCAAAAATGCTAGGGGCAACACTCTTGGCTAATCTTTCATAAATGTTGGGACTTGCAGCAAGCCTGCGGAACAGATCTTCCTCCTCAGGAGAAATAGTAACACCAGTGCTGTGGCCTGCCTCATCACTGTTTACATGAATTCCAACCACTCTGAGATAGGGAGCCCTCACACCCACAATTCCCTTTTCTCTGCCATCCATCTGTGAGACAAATGAAAACTGAGTTAAAGCAGAGGTACTTTAAAGAGAAGACGGCATGAAATTGAGAGGAACCTACCCTTCCTTGTCTGGCAATTTTCTTGATTGAGTAGATACCAAGTACAGTAATTCGATTACCAGGTACAACACGATCACAAAGGTACCTGAAACAAAAATAGAATGCAACTTTTCCAGACTTAAGAACACTTGTGACATGCAAGACCCCAAAAGAAATAACATACCTGTCACAATACATTGACAGATGGCGGGGCATCTCTCCCTGAGGAATGGAATCAGGAAGTTCCTGCAGTTTCAATGTCTGGAAATCGACGCAGTTGCACTTGTCTGGCATGATGAAAAATGGATCGAGGGGACATTTAGGACGACCAGCTTGCTCTCTGAAACAACACAGTAAATCCTTAAATTTTGTAAAACAAAAACTAGTTAGAAACAAAAAAATTTGTGATTTCAAATAGTGCTTACGTGTTGCACTTTCTGGGCATGGCATAGCCATCCAAACCAGGCCTGACGGTCAAGTTAGGGATTACATTCCGGCATGATCGGCATTGGATAGCAATTGTGGTTGCTTTAGCTCTGATACCGGATGCTGCTACTACAATACCAGGGATCTTCACCAATCGTGACACAAAATCAGACTGAAAGAAAAATTTACGAAGAATAAATTGTTAGAAAAAGCACTTGACAATGTAAAATTTAAAACAAAAAAATCGAAATAATGCATGTCAGTGTACCTTCATATCACGAAGGGATAAACAGTTTGCATCAGAAGAGATAAGGATTTGGATGTCCTCCACCTTCTCTTCCCCCTCTGGACGCGGCGCAGTGACTTCGTCGGCAACCTCCTTTGCAGCTTCTTCAAACTGAAAGAGGATGAAATCTTATGATGGGAAACTGAAAACTTTCAAGAAACAAGTTTCGGGGCAAATAACTTACTACAGTGAGATGTTCGGTAGGTTGCTTGTACATTTTATCAGCCAGAGCTTCATCAAAGCTGGCCAAGTCCTCCAGGTTGACTTCCAAATAATACTGGCCAAGGTTGTACTGTCTTTTGAGGGCATCTCTGCAGATGTAGAAAACAGTAAAGGAGTGAGCAATTTGAACAACTCAGATTAAAAGAAGCAAATAAGAGAACCCGACACAGGGGGCCAGGGTAGGGGTTAGAAGAGTAGTAAAATCCACATCCAGATGTCATGGAGCGATGAATTCAATTGTAAGTGTCAGACTATTAGAAGCTAATAAGCAAATAAAAAAATAAAATGCACAGAATTTAGAACAAAGGAGTATTTTACCTGTATTTGTAGTTGAAGTTGCCTTCATGAAACTGGCGCAGGAAGTCTTTAAGTTTCTTTTTCGTTCCAAGAAAGGTGGTGTTGACATCACTTTGATGATCCTCGCCGGCAAAGTTGTCGGAGAAAAACACACCAGGATCGTCAAACCCTTCCATTATGCCGACCTAAAATGTTAAACGAGTGTCCGGCGTAAGCGGCAGAAGCACACAAAGGTATTTTCTGGGTGTTTTGGCGCGAAGCTCGAGCAATTTGTAGTGTTGCCAACACCGAAAACGCAAACATACTATGACAAATTTAGGTCAAAACTTGGATTTGAAATGAAGTTCTTTTTCATGTGCAGGGTGTTTGAAAATCGAAAAAGATCAAAGGATGTAATTCGTAATCTTCGGCACGGGGCAATGTGTGCAGCATAAATTTTTGGAGCGCAGGCGTGCAGTATGAGAAATACTACATTGCGTGCTAGAAAACAACAAAAACAACAAATGAAAACAAAACAAGTGACGCCAAGCGTCGGGGGCGTTGTTGTTGTAGCGTCTGCTGGTCTGCTGCACTGCACTGCAGTGGTGCATCGCGTCGGCTTCCTCATTTGCTTTCAATTGCGGCAATTGGTGGAGGCGAGGGTGGCGCAATGCGTCCGCGGTCGCCCCTTTTTCGGGCGTAGCGGTATTGCTTCGCTCGCTGCGAGGGAGTTGTGCCTGGGAAGAGGAGCGTCTAACCATACCCAGTGTTGTTGTGCAGCCCTGCAGCCCAAGCCTAGACCGTAGACAAAGGCCCAAGGAAAAATGACTCAGCCCACGAACACCATCAGCCTGCCCCCGGACCCGTCGGAGAGCTGGTGGCCTTACATCATAGCCACCATCGTGGCCATCATTTCCATGCTCAGGTATGTTGTCACTTGTTGTTCGGACTCTCTGAGAAGAAATTCCGTTACAGTGCCATCGCCTATCAGCAACTCCTGCCAAATTTTTCACGGTAATCTTTTATGCATCTGCATTGTTCGATTATTGCATTGTTTCAGGTCCTATATGGGAGGTAGAAGTTACAAGAGTTCAAAGAACCTTACAGGAAAGCTGGTCATTATTACGGGTGCAAATACTGGCATTGGGTTTGAAGTGGCCCGTGACATGGCTGAAAGAGGTACATTTTTCTTCAGAGATTCTTGTCAACTTCTGGCCAATTACAAGTATTTAAAATTTTGATTTGTTCCTTTCGAAGGTGCTCGAGTTGTATTGGCCTGTAGAAATCGTATAGCAGCTCAGACAGCATCATCTCGAATAACTAGAATGGTTCCAAATGCTATTCTTGACATCCGTGATTTGGATTTATCATCTTTACAGTCTGTTGTTGATTTTGTACAAAAGCTTCGTAAGTATGATAAACTGTAAAATTAGGACCAATTAAATCCACTATTTTAACATGTCTGATTGTCTTCCAGCATACAACAATGTCAACTACCTTATTTTAAATGCTGGTGTGGTGTTTCACCCTTTTCAATTAACAGAAGATGAGTTTGAGACACATTTTCAAGTTAATTATTTAGGTGAGATAAAATGATCTGTTGAAAGTCTGTCTTCTATACAGGGACGCATTTGTTAATTTTAACCATTTTATTATAGGCCATTTCCTGCTGACCAGGCTGCTGATGTCTAAAATGTGTACCACTCCAGGGTCACGGGTTATTTCCATGACATCCCAATCACACTTTGCTGCAGACATATGTCTGCATGATTTGAATCTCCAGATTAACTACTCACCAAGGAAGGCATATGGGCAGAGTAAACTTGCTCTATTGCTCATGACTCAATATCTGGGAATGATGTTGCAAGGTAAAAACTCCTTCTGCAAACAGCTAACAAAATTATTTCTGTAAAAGTGTGATTTCAAGAATTATTATTTTTATTTTTTCAGGAACAAATGTCAACTTTATGGCTGTCAACCCAGGATTAGTGAGAGGAACAAAACATGTTTCGAGTTCACCAGTTCTCAGTGAATCTTTTCTTCTCCGGATGGCCATGCACCCTTTAATGTGGCTTTTCATGAAATCACCAAAACAAGGAAGTCAGTCTGTGATTTATGCAGCTCTAGACCCAGAATTAGATGACATCCGTGGTGCTTATATTTGGTGAGTGAACCTTATTACAATGTGAAACTCATGTGTCTTATTTCTCTTTCTCATTCCTCTTATATTAATTTCACTTACAGTGATTGTGAAATTGCCGAGCCTTCGCCATTGGCTAGTGACAAGAAGCTTGCTGCTGACCTCTTTGAGAGGTCTCTCAGCCTTGTAGCCGCAAAAGCAATAGCTGCAGGAGTTTCTCAGATTTGGAAAACCGATAAATCTGATGCAGAGAACTAAAGAGATGTGTCTTTTCATTCCATAAATTTTGCATGAGAACATGTCACCTGCATAACTCTGCTAGAATTGTTGAGATGATGCACAACTAGAACTTCATCATGATTCAATCTAATATTTGTCTTTGACATTGGTCAAATTTATTAAAAATGTTTGGAACTGCCAAGCAAACTTCAAGTACTTGATGTTTTCCAGTTGATCATCACCTCAAGTTTATAAGATTCATAAAATGTAAAATAGTTTTTCTATTAGTTGTGTGTGTTCCGAGTGCTTTTTCTAAACCAGGAATTTTAATTAGGTAACTAGAACAAAAAAGTCAAAATTTTGCCAAAGAACACTGACAATTTATGTGACAAATGTTTAATCTCAACACCAAAGAGTTTTTGTTTGTTTTCAACATTTTGTATTTTGCTTCCCTACATTCCTTTTTCTATTATTTATGAATTTATGGCCAGGGATCCTTAACTTACCTCAAAAGGGCATCATAATGTTATCGTACGAGTTAAAGTTGTAACCCTTAATTAACTTCCGAATTCTTTTCAAAGGGATAAGTTTTTTTTTCTTGTGTCTCGAATTTTTGTGGAGATACTTTTGGAAGTATGCACAGTACTTGCAAAAGTCCTTATGAAAGCAGTGTTAGTTAGGGGCTGTTCATAAAATACGTCACGCGTTTTTGGGTCATTTTTGACCCCCCACCCCTCCCTCATCACAACTTCGTCACATTCGGCTGACCCTCCCTCCCCCCCACCCACTTGTGACGTATTTTTTGGGCATGAGCGAGAAATCACGCAAAATGCATGAGTTTATTTCATTTTCTCTTAGTCTTTACACAATAGAGTAAAATAAACGCTTCCGTAAGTTAAAAACAGTTAATTAACTTCGCGGGAGGGCGTTTTCATTGCTTACCCACCCGAAAATGTCGTATCAAACCTGTATTTTCAAAAATACGTCACAAGACCCAACACCCCTACCCCCCTCAGCGTCACAACTCATCACACCTCGCCGATACCCCCACCCCCCCTAAAACGCGTGACGTATTTTATGAACAGCCCCTTAAATGTTAAGTAAAGTTAAGGATCCCTGTTTATGGCTATAAGATTTACATCTTCTGCAGGATCTAGTCCAGCTGTATTAAGTACAAATTTTTCATTCCATTCATGCAAGTACTAAGTTTGTAATGACAATTTTGTCAAAAGTTCACTTTTTATCATTTTTACTATAGGTTTATCATTTATTTTTTAATGAATTTTACTCAAGGCATGTGCCATATTTAGGTTACATTTTGATTGAAATTAATAAATGCTGCTGTTTTTTAAAAATAGAAAAAGCATGTGTGTATTTATGTATTGTGTGTTCAGGTGTGTTCATGCTCATGTTGCCTTGGGTGGTGTAGCGTAGCTGGCTCGACAAAGATCTTGTAGCTTCTTGTGTTATGTGTCCACTGAGCTACGTCACCAACGCGCCATGAGCGTGATAGCACCTTTAGTGTAACTTTCTTATTGTGTGTTTTTGTGTGTCTTATTGTTTATTTGTTGTGGTATAGATTGGCTACCCTTCTTTCCCTATAAGTCATCATTGAAGGGAGTACTTCTCATTATAAGACAATGCCAAACTAGCGTTCTAGTCAATGCTCCAAATGCCAATGCTTCCCAAAAGTATGGGAATAATGTAAGTTAAATTGTCTATAAATGTGTTAAATTATTCCTGTGATGTGAATTTTGCCTCATGTGGTCTAATCCCTCCAGTGTGTGACTCGATATATTTATTGTCCATTCATCCTGACTCAATGAAGCCTAGGAGTCATTAATCAATAAAGGTTCCAGTCTCATGAAAGTGAGTTCAAGGAATGTAGAACATCTGCTGTGCTGGATTTAATTTCCCCAACCCTTCCCAGCTATGCTATAAATTAAAACGGAGGCGCTTCAACCCTCCCTGGATAGGCAGACAAGACTGGCGCTCTGCTGTGTCTGGTTATCTGTGGGATTTCGGGTGCTGAAACGGAACGCCTGTCAGGTAGGCCACCCAACCACCACGCCTCGCACCGGCGCAAGCATGTGGCCTACCTTGCCCCTGAGGGTCGGGTGGACGTGTGCGCTCTTTTGTGAGCCCAATGGGAGGCATTTGGGAGGCAGTTGGAGTTACACGCCTCTGGCCTCCAGGTGCTCCATGTATAGGCAGGTCCCGCGGTCGTGGGCCGAGCCAGGCCGAGCGAAATCGCATGACGACTCTTGATACGTATCGCACTTTGCGGTCACGAAACCGGAGCACGCCTCGCGCCGCGCTGCGCTGCGCCGGAACACGCCGCCACGTCCTCGCCCGCTCGCAGGTCCACTAGTCCACTCCACTGTAGCGCCTGCCACTCCACTGGAGACTTGGCAGTCGGCACGAGGCGCGCACTTCCCTGGCCGCCACGAGGTGGACGCTAGGCTGCCTGCCAGCGCCTCGCCACGCCTTGCGAGCAGCGCCGGGCAGGTAGGCAACGCAGGCAGCACGTGCTGCTCGGAGACTTGACTTGGCCGTCATCGCCATGGCCGTCATGAGGAGGGCTGGCGCTCTGCTGGCCATCCTCGCGATGCTGCTGCAAGCGCCAGCCGGCTCCGGCACCTATCCCGATCTGGGCGACTTCAAGAAGGGCTTCAAGTCGAACGTGCAGCGTTGCGCCAACGCGCACCGAGTTCAATTGTGTAAGTGAGCTATCGAAAAAAAAACAAACTCTAAAGTCATCCTATGACTATACTAATTTTTATTCACTACCAGTGCAAGTTATGGCTTTGATGGAAGCCCCAATAGCTGCTGGGTACGACAGGAACTCAAAGTGTTTCATTTACTGCCTCATGGACAAGTATGAAATGGTGAGTTCGATGTCAGTCGTCGTCGCCGTCGTCCTAGTTCGGGAATGAACTTCACTCTCGGTTCACCCAGGTGACGCCGGATGGGGAGTTCATGGACGGAAAGATTCGTCGCTTCGCAGTGGACCTACCCGACAGCAACTTCAAGATGATCATGAAGAAGAACCTGGACTCGTGCCTGCGCGAGGGTGGGTCTGAGCGTCGCCAAAAAACCAAGGAGGCCAGTGCGATCCACGCCGTCGATCGCCTTATGAGTAAAAAGAAAAAAAGCCCCTTTTTCTCACTTGGCGGCACTGGCACTGGTCCAGCACTGGTTGATCAGCATGACATTTTGGCATCGCATTTTCATCTCACAATACTGATGCTTTAATTAATTAATTTCATACTCTGACTGAATACAATGGAGTAAGTGGTGATGGCATACTGTATTGTACATAATTGTATATAACAATAATCTTCACTTTGTTTCAAAACGGGCAACAGTAGAAGTTGACATGCTCCAATCTTGTTTCCGCCTTACTAACTCACTGCTAGTGCAATGAATGAATGACTATTAGATTTATTTTACCAGTAATTTTAAGCCAAACTGAATTAAATCATGCCAGATGACAAATACATACTTTCTTTACTTCCAGATAATGAAGACATCTGTGAGAAGTGCTACCAGTTTGCTAAATGCTACTATGATCGAGCAAAAGTTAGGGTAAGATGTGTTTTATTTTTAGAGATGAGACAAGTCTCCATTTGGCCTAAGTCACACAAAGCAAAAACAGAATTATTGCAAATTAAAGTACTTGTCTTTAACAGAATGGAAATCAGAAGCAACCCTACCAGCGATTGACCAACTACTATGAAGGATCCTCTGACAAACTATTCAACAAAGTAGGATCATGGGCCCGAAACCAATGGAATGTGAGTGTGTCTCTTACCACTAGTATTGATAAAATAATTACCACCCTCCAACTTAATGTGCTGAAAAATTCTTTACAGCAACCCAGCAACGGGCCAAGGGGCATATGAAATATAAATTACTAAAAACAAAAAACATTCAGCTAAGCTTTACAATAATAATTCCACCAAAGGAAAAAAAAACAATATTTATTTTAGAACAGTAAAATAAAACATTTGATTTCAGATTATAAAAGAAAGTGTCTTGAGCACAAGAACAACACCTTATCAAAGTCAGTTCAGTTGGTTTAAGTATAACAGAATAAAAGCACCAAATGAACCAAAGATCAAATCAAAGAGATAGAGAGAGACAAATAACACAGTAGGGTATGTAAAGATAAAAAAAAGATAAAGCATAATCAGCAAGATCAAAATCAAAACAATAATAGTAAAAACACACAAAATATAAGGCACATAGATAAGGCACTGCAAAGCCAACAATTTAAATATACCAGGACACTTTGTCCTCTCAAAAATTGATTGAGCAGTTGGTTTATTATACATTTAAATGAAAAATAATAAGATCTTTAGAGACTCTTAATTAAGGGCACTTGAATATGACAAAATGAATATCAGTACTAGCCCAGGGCCTATGACGTATCTGTCTTCAGAAAACTCCAATCCAAAGATGTATCATCTTCATTGACAGCTTTCCTAAATCGACTGCAATCTTCTAGAAGTTCTTGCGTTCTGCAATGTCAAAGCAAGAACAATCTTTAGATGGAAAAAGAAATACCCTGTGCTCTAAAAGTGTACGCATTTGCACTAAGACTTACTGCATACGAAGTGATTTATTTTCGTTAATCATTGACATGGTCAAATCAGCATCTCCAGATCCAGAATATTTTGCAAGAGACAATGTGCTTCCTTTTGCTGAGCCTTTAGCATAGCCACTAGCTATACCACTGTCAATGCCATTGGACAAATTTATCTGTCCCAGTTGTTGCTGCAAGGATGTCAAGTCAAATGCTGGTTGGGATGACTGATTGAGACTTGTTTGAGAAACAGCAGCTAGTTGGGATGACTGATTGAGACTTGTTTGGGACACAGCAGGGGAGCAAGGGTTGAACAGGGACAGTGACGAAGCAGTCATGAAGTGTGACAGTCCATGTGGGGGCACTGGAGGTGGGTGGTCTTCACTGTAAAGGTTACGGCTGGAGTGACTGCGATAGGGTGGATGGGACCTATCATGAGAAGAAAGAGGATAGTTAGGGGTAGAGGGAGAACCACCAGGAGAATATGCACCATCCTGCAAAAAGTAAGGGTGAAGATTCATATACAAGAAATGATGTACAAAAAATTAAAATTCTTGTTTACAGTGGGATCTTTTTAAGAATGGCAAGTAGATTAAGAGCACATTTTTACTTTGCTTCATACTTACAGCAAGTGAAGATTTAAGAAGGTCCCAGACACTGCGCTGCCTTTCACGATTTGTATTCATAATCTCCAGTTTCAGGACACTAAGCCTGTGTGACAAATCTTCAAGTTTGGGTAACAGCTTTACCAAGTCATTCTCACAATCAATCAGTTGCCTGAAATTTAATTTTTAATAATGAAATAGAATAAGGTGAGTTTTAAAAAAAATCTATAAAATCTCTGTAGAAAAATTACTCACTTCAAGTGAGTGGTTTGTTCTTGATCATGAAGAAGGACATCTCTTTGCTTTAAAAAGTGGTATACAACTCTTGCCATTTCCTTTGAATCTATCAAAGATGAACGTTCTGATGCCGGTCGTTTCCTCAATCGGTCGAGTAAGCCAAGTCCAGTTTCTAATCTAAAATTTAAAAAGATGATAGATGTATCAAATAAATTATTTCTATGTAAAGAAACCAAATCTGATACACATTTTTCCACCTACGATGAATTGAGAACAGGATCTTCTTTCATATTACTGGGCTGGGCAGACTGAAGCTTCCTTGCCAATTTTGTGACTTTTTGCGTTTCCACTGTTAAAACTTGAGTTTTGCTCAGCAAATCACTGTATTTATTGTTTAAAACATCCATTTGTCGTTGCCAGTAAACAACATCTGTTTTGGCTAATAAAAGTAAAAGATTAGAGAAGAAGGAACAAAAAATATCATGTGTTTGGTGAACCTTAATCTACTCACTGCTTAATTTTGCTCTCTGAGCTTGTGTTGCATCAAACTTGTAAGCATCAACACAAAGTTCACGAAGAGCAGTTATGGCATTTGACTGGTCAGTTATCTTCTGGCTTTCCCTGACAACTTTTTGACACTGTAATACAACTGATAACCTGCAAAGCCAGACATATTAAGACATTGTTAAAATGCACATTGATTGGGAAGCTTAATCAGTGGCCAGCACCTAAGAACGTACAATTTTAGTTTGCAGCCCATCAGGAAAGTTTTGTAAAGTTTGCTTTCTTGTTGTAAAAAGAATACTGCGTGGCTATATGCTCTTCTCTGGAATACATATTCTAGCTTCTCATGAGGCGACTGCAAAATATTTGCCACTAAATGTGGGAAATTTGGTGGTACTACTGGAATCACCAACTCACCCTGCCTAAACACAAACAGTGATTCCTAAAAAGAAGAAAAGAAACAAAAAGTTACGAAAAATACCACTTGCAACAGAAACATTAACAATAAAATTTACATACCTGAGATGTACCATTGAAGCACTGTCCCAGCAAACCATTTGAATCAATTTGTTGACCATTGGCTAACACAAGTTCTTGCTCTCTAGCAGGGACTTTGGTGTCATTTTCTATCCATTCTCTCAAAAGTGACAATGGAGTGGAATCTTCAACAGCATAACTTAGCTTAACATAAGTCACCATGCAGAACACACGAACAACCTAACATTTACAGAAGCACAATTAATTTTGGAAAATCTTTATCAACTTTAAAGACCTAATCCATGGTACTTACTTTTTTTGCCAGAACTGACTCAATTTCATTGAAAACAATCACTTCACCATTTGAATTTTTTCCTCTTTTCTTTGGATCCCACTCCAAAACCAATTTCAACCAGTCCTCCATATCTTTCTTCAGGACACTAAACATCAATATTGAAATGAATCAAAACAGTTTTTACAGTTTTAAAATACACACAAACTTGGATTTTTTCATACCTTGAAATATGGTTTTGGGGAAATAGATGAGAGCTGAATTCTATTTTGCCTTTCTCAGTCTGATAAGCACATATATGATCCTTGGACTTCTGCTTAACATATCTCATCCTGTAACATAGAAGGTAATAAATGTGCTCCAAAACTATAATAAAATTTTGTACTTAAGATCATTACTTACCATGCAACAGGAGCCATGTTAGGGAGGAAAGGACGAATACCAGTGATCACTTCATGAGAAACTAATCCTAAACTCCAGTAGTCCACAGAAGATGAATATCTAGAAATATAAATTGATAATTTTTAGACCCTTGTTTCAATTACATTAATGAGGATGTCAGGAGAAGTAGCAATATTAAAGGTACTAACTTTTCATTAGTGAAAAGCTCAGGAGCAAGATACTGAAGCGTTCCAACAAATGATGTACAAGATGACTGATCTAGTTCTTTTGCATAGCCCAAGTCAATGAGCTTGTAGATAGTCTGGTAACAAATACAAAAATTTTTTAAAAAAAACCTAGAATAAAATTAGGACAAGATATTTAAGATTATGGTAGAAAATATTGCTTACTCCAGAGTCATTTTGGGCAAGAACAATGTTTTCTGGTTTTAAATCCCTGTGGGTTATTTTCTCAGAGTGAAGATAGCTCACAGCGCTAGAAACATTCTGAATTAATTTACGGACATCATTTTCTTGCAGTCCACAGGAATTCTCAGGGCGGTTTAACAGCTGTAAAAACAACAAGAACAAAATTTGCCGAAATTGTAGAAAGAAAATTAGGTAGTAATACATATTTTAAGAAAAACAATACAGAAAATTGTTCTCTTGCTCTGAAGGAAAAACGAACCTGCCGCAGATCCCCCTTAGAGCAATATTCCATGCACAATATGGGCAGGACAGATGGTAGCTTTGCAAGATCTTCTGGGAGAGGCAAAGCTCTCACAACATTGGGATGATTTAATCGTTGCATTATTTCTACTTCCTTCCTCCATCGTTCCTTCTGTTTTGTGTTCAGTAATGTGTCAGCACCACATCGACATTTCTTCAGAGCTGTTGGTAGAGCACACAGGTAAGTTGTAGCCAGTAATTGAAACAAAATCACCACTAAACCTGCTGCCACAATGGACATTTACAGACTCTTTAGAGGCGAAAGCAGCCAGCCAGGACGGATAGGATAAATTAGTCATCAACCAAAAAAACCTGCTTGTTGCAACGCTGGCAGGCTGACCGTCCTGGCAGGTGACTCAGACCATTGCAGCAGCCATTTTACAGGAAAAAAATGGTTAATAGAGAGATGCAGGCTATTACCGATCGTCTCATCGCCGTTCTTCTGCCTCCATAGCGTGACGGTGCCGAATCCGCCACTGCCCAAAACTCGCTCCCTCTTCCAGTTCTTCACCTCGACGGGCTCCTCGAACGACATCCTGGCCCTGGATTAATCCTGGCTGGGGAAGGACGGAGTGTCGAGTATTCCCTGCATAAACAAAGGCCTCTGCTAGGTACCTTCCAAATGAAGGGAACAGGAGGCCATCTTTGTCTGAGTGCGAAACCTTTGGGTATCGATGACAATACTGAGGAACAGGAATCTCCTGAGCAGAGGAAGGAAAACGGTGCTCTTGCATCCTCAATGACAGTTTAATCTTATCTTGAGAATCAGCCCGGAAAGGCGTTTCTGCTTGTTTACGGTGTGTCATGAGCCGAGATGCAGACCGCCCGAGAATGCAACCGCACCATTCCTAACTCACTTAGTTGTCAAGCACACTTTTCTCCGTAAAATAAGCAGAGGGTATGTGGCGGTTTCAAAACGCGATCAGTCTGTTAAATACCTTTATTCCTAACTCAAAAACTGCCCAACCACTTTCGCACCGCACTTCTTTCATCAACCTCCATTGTTGTCCAAACTATGAGAAATTAATGAGGAGGCTTTGCACTACACTACACCAACATTGACATAAGAAGACATCAGTGAAAGCTACGTAGCCAAAGCTACATACCCTGCTCTGGAGTAGAAGAGATCAAGTTTCATGTAGTATGCTTATTATTACCTGTTTACCAGTATAATTTGTCTCTGCAATATGCCGAATACTCGCCGTTCCAGAAAGAGGATTTTGAGTCGGGATCGTTGCTTTCTTGTAGGACACCACAGTGGCGCCACCTTGTAGCCGGTGTGTGTACTTCATCTGTCAGACGACAGGGCGCACGGTTCCGCGTCGGTCATTGTTATTGTTTGAATATTGAATGTTTCTGCCCCGCGGGAAATCTCGGAACGCGTGACACTGGTGGCAGCGTGTGAGCGGACGCCAGCCTGGCCTTTTGTAAGTTAGAAGATACCAGTGGGGAGTGTTCAGTCGGAGAACGACGACGAAGAAAACACAACGCCGTTAAGGGCAGGTAAGCCATCTTCGTAAACATTGCGACCTGCATTCACAGGTTTTGATCTCTTGTAACCGGGATCGGGTATCTGCTCGTTGGCGCTGCGCTGTGCCGTGTCGTGACGTTGACGAACGATGTCCCGCTTCCAAAGCGGGCCAAATTCGATTGGCGACGAGACGCAGTGAAACTCGCGATTCAATTAAGGTCCTGCGTTTACCTGGTCGGCGGAGCAGGGAGTGAAAACAGGTTGATTGAGGCGGGCTGTTGCGTTGAGCAGACAAGGCGTGTTGGCGCATGGGGAACGGTTTAAAAATTTAGTTTGGTTATCGTGCGGGTATGCGTGTGCGCGTGCGCGTGGCGCGGGGGTGGCGGGGGCGGGGGGCGGCGGGAGTGGGGATGCAGGTGTAAGAACTGCTGGAGGCGACGGAGAAGAGAAGGACGGACCCGGAGGAGGGGGAGGGGGCAAGCGTAAGAAAGAAGCGGCACGGAGTGCGGAGCGGGGGAGGGGGCAGTGGACTGATTCCGAGAGTCGTTTTCGTCGCCGTCTCTCTCTCTCTCTCACCCACGCGGGACGCCCCAGGAGTGCGAGAGAGGCAGAGCGACGAAAACGGCTCTCGGAATCAGTCTGCAGGTCGCGACGACAAAGCGAGGTGCGGCAGGTGCGGCCACACCACAAAGTACGCGCGGGAAGGGCTCGGCCCGTTCAGAGCGTCATCCGGTAAACACACTTTACTTGGGACGGATTCTCTGTCGCTCTTGCACCTGTACGTGAGTGCGAGTGCGAGAGAGACAGAGCAACGACACGAGTGGAATCGGTCCGCTGCTGTGATGCAGTGTTGAATGCCAGTGTCGATCTGCTCGCTCTCTCACACTCTCACGGGATGCCCCACGAGTGCGACAGAGACAGACACGTGACGTCCGCTGGAAATTACGCGCGAAAACAACAGCTTGACGGCGGCCTCACGATCGGGCCGTTCCGTTCCTCTTTTGGACTCGAATCGACGCGGCGACGGTTGTCAGGCGCGGCACGTACAGTCCGTCCAGTACAGTCGACCGGTGTTGGGGAGAAGCAGAGCGATTGACGGCTGTTTTTGGTTTGGCTTCCATTTCCTCTCCGTGGTGCGAAGTTCATATTCACCAGAGTGGAGATGGAACAGGGCATCTCTCAGGGCATCTCATAGTTTTCCTAGGGCATTGATGCCACTAATTCCACTCCACTCTGGTGGGCGTGCGGGCGGCGGCGTGGCTCTGGACGGAGAAAGGAAAGAGAGGGAGGGGGGGTCATTGTTATGCACCGGGCATGGATGCATTCACTGCACTGCTGCACTGCGAGCGCTCGCAGCGGAACCGAGCCGCTATTCGGCTACCCGTCGGCTACCCGTCGTCGGCTACCTGACGGCCAAGCGGCGACGTCCGTCTATGTAGTTTCAAGCGCTATGGATACCGCACCCGCACTATCTTGTTGTTTTGAGTCTTATTGAAGGACGTTGGAGCGCCCTGAAGGCGTCCAGCATGCCCTGGCCCGTCTGGGCCGACTCGTTTCGGCCCACTGTCCGGTGGCGGCGGGTCGCCGTGGCGCCGCGGCTTGGCCGCGTCTGCGGCCCTGCGGTGTAGCGCCACGAGGCTGGTAAGGCACGAGCAATTAGCGAGCGTTGGGCGGCAGAATGCAGCAGGATGCCGAGAGAGGCCGCCCCGCCCCGCCCCGCCCCGCCCCGCCCCGCCCCGCCCCGCCCCGCCCCGCCCCGCCCCGCCCCGCCCCGCCCCGCCCCCCGTCCCGCCGGCCGGGCAGAACCAAACCAAACCCCGCGCACCACGCAGCGCAGCAGTACGCCGGGACGGTCTGGGCTGGTTACTGGTTCGGGAAAGTACCATTCGGCAGTTTTGCGGAAGGCCTCCGACAGAAGATTGGACGGGTACCCACCTCCTGATGCCGCGGCGGGGCGGGGCGGGGCGGGGCGTTGTGGTTGCGTCGTGCGGTCGCTTCCGAGAAGAGTTGCGTGGAATGGTGGCGCCTGGCGATGCCTGCCGCGGCGATGCCCGCCGTCTGGGTGCACCCAATACGCATCGGCCGCAGCATGAGGCTCTTGCCTTTACTTCGGAATTCCAGGGCTCGGCTGCGAATTGCTTCCAAAATGACGTCTTCTGTCTCCGAGGAACGACGAATGCCGCGATCCAGCGTCCGGGCCGAGCCAGCGCGGCGAGCGTGGCCCAGCGCCCGGCGAGATGGTTTCGCTCCGCGGCAAAACCGCCTCGCCGCCTCGCCTCCACGGCCTGGCCGACTCAATTCCTGGTGGATTTCCTCCTCTTTCTGTGCAATCGCCTCGGACTCGGCGGAACGTGACGACGTGACCGAGCGACTGGGGACCGCGAGCCCTGGAAGTCCAGGAAAGTCCAGGGAAAGGGACTAGGGACTAGGGAGCGCCCAATTCAATCAAGCGCAGGAATTTCTTGCCGCCTTCGGATCCCAAAGTTTGCGGCGTTTCTGATTTGCGACTTTGATTCCATTGTGAGTGGGGCTGCTTGTGTGTGTACGGGAGACTTTTTCGCACGCCTCGCTCTGCATGCCGAGTCGTCGTACCCTTCCCGGTCCCATCGGTGCGTGATTTGACCAGTCTGGACCTTCTTCCCTCCCTCAGACTCTTGGCGCGTAACTTCGTGGGCTCGCTCACGCGCTAGCGGGTACTGCACTGGTAGGTCGAGTACAGTGCGCATGCACTCGGCGGCGACCTCTGGGTTGAGGCACCTGGTGGCTACCTCGGCGATGCAGCACTTCGCCGCGACCTCCCCGTTCTCCCCGTGTTCCTGGCGCGTACCTCGGGGACACCAGGACACTGTACTTGGCGGCGACCTCGCGCCGCGCTGGAGAGGCTGTGGACGCTTACCACGCTGCCGTGCGCGCCGCGCGCCGCTCCAGGAGTGCTCCCGACGGCCCTGGACGCCCTGCAGGCCCTGGAGGCCCTGGAGGTGGGGTACTTACATTAAAAATATTATGGATGGTCCATAAAACGCGGCTCATAAATTCGACTTGAGGCTCTTTGACGGATGCGACCCACGACGCGGAATCGCGCCTCTGTGTGTGTGTGTGTGTGTGTGTGTGTGTGTGTGTTGGTGTGTGTGTAAGTGTGTGCAAGTGTGTGTGTGTGTCTTTGGTGTGTGTGGGTGTTGTGTCCACGTTGGCTGCGCCGCTGCGCGTCCTGGAGTCCTGAAGGCGATGGCTCGTCGCGCCCCCCCCCGCGCCCCTTGCGGCCCCCACGGCGCGGCCCTTGACGGGGCCACCCTTGATGGCGTCCCCCGCAGCGAATGGGGCCGCGCCGCTGTCCTTTCACGGCACCTATAAAGAGTTTATAAAGACGAGAAGAAGAGTATTCGCCGGGACTACAGTGTAGGCAACAACGCGGCGAAGGCAACCCCTTTTCGCGCGCGCGCGCGGCGGTTTGAAATGGGGGCTGTCGGTGACTGTTTGGGACCGGACATGGAAACAGTTGAGCGGGGAGGGGGGGGGGAAGCCTGGATCTGACCATCTGGAATGCGAAGCGAACTCCGCCGCGACTGCCAGTGTCAGGGCGTTGTTGCGGTGGGGGATGACTCTGTCTCTCTCGCACTCACGGGCCGCTCCGCATGCCGGGCGCGAGGAAGAGAGAGACGGACGCAGACTCCGTTCGCTGACGAACTCGCCGGATAACGACGAACGGTCCTTCTTCTTCCGGGAGCGAGTCGTTAGATGCGTGCCGGGCGCGGCCGGCCGGCGCTTCCGAAAAAAGGAAGAAAAGAAATTGGGGACGAAAAAACGGGAAAAAGAAGAGGCGCGGAGTGCGGAGCATCGGCGATATTAATTATTAGTGATTAATCCGGACTAATGGGATACTCAGGTTGCAGCCGCCCTCTCTGCAGGCGTCGAGCCGTGCCGTGCCGTGCCGCGCCGTGCCGCGCCGAGCCGCGTGTTGCTGGAAGTGAAATAAGGGCATTAATCACAGTGCCCCTCCACGTCAATAAAAGGCAGGCGCCCTGCGCGTGGCATGTTTACCCTTTAATTCCCGCACCCTGCAGGCCTGGCCGGGCTGGCCGTGCTGGCCGGGCCTGACAGCCTGCAGGCTGATTCCCAGCAGTGCTTCCGTCGCTCTGTCTCTCTCGCCCCCGTGGAGCGTGCCGCAGAGGCGCGCGCGCGCGAAAGAGAGGGAGAGAGCGACGGGAGCCCTCTTCGGGGGCCGCCCGCTGCCGGGTGGCTCCCGTGCTTTTTGCCTGAATAAATCAATGCCCCTAATGAAAGACTGTCGACGGCCCGGGTTCGAATGACGGAGGAGGCCAAAAAAAGTGACAGTCGCGGATTGTTCCGTCCGTCTGGCTGACGCCTTAACTGGGTCGGGGCTTGGCCAGGCTTGGCCAGGCTTGGCCGAGCGAACCGAGCTCGCCGAACGAACCCTCTGCTGAGCACCGAGGTGACGACGCCCCACAAATCGTGGGTGATTTCTTGCGCCGTCCTCCTCGTGCGCCTCGCGCCCGACACTCTCTGTCTCTTTCTAACTCTCTCTCTCCTCTCTCTCTCTCTCTCTCTCTCTCTCTCTCTCTCTCTCTCTCTCTCTCTCGCGGCCAGTGGAGAGTCTTCTTCACTTCCAGGCCGCCCTGATTGCGTCGTAAATCGCACAACACAGGTACAGCCGAGCCTCACGTGTGGGGGTTTGTAATCTCAAGTTTGGCGCCGCCGCGTCCGTGTGCGATTCCCCATGCGTCTCCGTGTCACTCCGTGTCCGTGTGTGTGTGTGTGTGTGTGTGTGTGTGTGTGTGTGTGTGTGTGTGTGTGTGTGTGTGAGCGCGCGCGCGAGGGAGCGCGGTCTAGCACTGGGCGAGTTTGAAGCACTTTTCGAACTTTAAGTTGTTCGCTCCCCCCGCCCCCTTTCGGTGCCTCTCGAGACGACCGGGTACGACGACGTTCGTTCCGACTTTCAGGCCCTTTCACACAGCATGTCCTATTCGAATTAACCCATTTTCCCAGAAAGTCTTCTCCCGTCACTGCTTTGGAA